CTTAATTTTGTTTGAACATACCACATTACACCAAAAGTCACAGAAGTATTGTCCCGAAGCACTGCACCACTTGCCGAAGAGATCCACTAAAAGAGGGGTCGACCACATTATCACCATTATCTAGGGGGAGAAGGGAAGAGCTAACCACTTGTTGGAGGCCTTGAGTGTAGTCGGGGAAAGAAGGAAGAAGCCTGTCGATCGCCGAAGATGTTGATCATGCAAAAAGGAAGGAAGAACGAATTCCATATTCGCGACTACCGTCAAAATTTTAAAGAGTCGAAAGTGTCTAAAGGTGTATCATTTCTAATTGTATTTTTTTTATGGAGTAAAATATGATGTTTTGAGATTTGTGAATTTTTATTTTTGAAATTTCATTGCTAAGGGACTATCAAGCCCCCACATTTATAGTTCCTGAATCAACTCACCTGGCTGCTAGCATATTTTGAGTGGTGTGAAATTTTCTTTTAAACAATGTAGGCTTTAGAATCTAAGTATAATTCATCTTCAAGAGGAGATTTCAATGATAATGACGCTAAAAGATGAAGCAAGGTAACTTCCTCTTCATTGTAAGAAATTCTTCTATGACTCTTATGAAGAAGGAGACTTTGAATTAGATGTGCCACAGAGCTTTATAAGTGCTGGAACAAGTCATTTTCAGCAGCAACGAGCATTATATGCATGCTTATCTCGTGGTTCTTGTTTAACGTTCTAAAAAGATTGTGCGGATGTATGTAAGTCAACAAAATAAAGGCATATCAAGTAAATGCATACATTGACATGTAGGGATAACATTGGCTTGAGAGACAAGAACAATCCACACTTCAAGGTATTGCGGGCAGCACGTGAGGAAGACGGCACAAACATTCTTTCCCAATCTTACATAGGTCCTTGTATCTCTGAATATACTCCTCTCTCCACTATTTCTTCTGCATTCCTTGCTTCATACGAATTCATACTGTTTACCTTTAAGAAAATTGCGAATTGACTGTGCGAAGGCTTCTAATTCTAGAAATTGACCTAGTTCCAACTTTGTTTTCCTAAATCAAGGAACATGTCACTGAAACAAAATTATTTGTGTAGCACTCCTAAATCTTTCTAGATACAGATGAAAAACTATCTAGATGGTTAGTCACCCGAAATTCTTCTCACTTCTGGGGTACCCTCGGCATGTGTTATAAGAAACTTGTGAAACAACATCATTTTGAGGCGTTGAACAGTTTTCCCACTAATCCGGCCATCATGCCAAGAAGCAAAATCACGTGCTCCTCTAAAGATTTGGGTACGAGCCATGCAGTTGATTCACGAAAGTTGCCTCCCCTAGTTCTCCCCGTCGATGTCCCTGGCCAGTGGACCGATTTAGCCTCGTTCAAAATCAGAGGTTGAACGGGTATTGATCTAAAAGCCAATAAAGACTACAAATGAGGATATGATGATTATGACCATGATGCGGTTATCAGAGTTTCGGTAAGATGTGGCTCAACAAACTCGTGTGTCACACATGCTGTATATCCTATTGTCTCGTAGCTTCAAGTAGCTAATGAAAATGCCCTAAAGTAACTTGATGTACCAATTTGTGCTGAAAAAGTTACTAGGCATAGATATTACTTGATAAGCAGTTTGCCCATTTGTCTGAATTGCCCAAAATGTTCGCAATGCCCTCCTATATTATATACTTACTCTGCAGATTATACTGTCATACGTGCATCACACAGCTTCGTTCGGGAAAGTACTAACTTATGGCGTTTAAATAAAATTCGACACTTTCCTCGTCATCTTGCGAAATGGTGCGCTAAAATGACTCCGCTAAAGATTTTTTTACTCTATGGAAATGTTCGGAGAGAAAAATAAGATCATTTCTGCAATAGCGAATAATGAAGGTGACGCGTTTCCCTTTTGCATTCCCTTTTCCCTTCCTGTGCACGTCCGTGGATATTTTTCACTGCAGAAGAATCGGAGACGGCTTTCTGACAGGGGAAACAACCACACAAAACATGAGGTGTTGGAGGAAACACATATTTGCTATTAGACTAGGACTTCACTACGCAACATATGTTACACATTAGATCTTATTGACCAATACAACTGTGCCAGACATTTTTACGACCTTTTATTGATACCAGATAAAAAAAAGAGGATAGTGTTTCTCCTCAAGAAGCACAAGAACTATGCCTCACTGTTTGTCCTCAGTAATCTACGGGCAAGCCAGACCAATAGGCACCGCCAATCCCAGTGATTCAGCAGCAGCGTAATGTCGCCTGGGATCCGAATATTGAGTTCAAGAATGTTTGCTCCAAACGCCATGCAAGGGCATTTGGCAAGGTTGCCGTTTGGAATGGACTTGATGATATTGCAACAGACTCCAGAGCCAGTTGCGATCCCCAACAAGGATTCCGAGGATAGGAGCGCACATAGTTAGTGAAAAAAATCTGAATCAAGCAGCTAGTTGAAGGCGATGGTGGAGGTGGAGGAGGAGGAGGAGGAAGAGGAGGAGGAGGTGGTGGTGGTGGTGGTGGTGTTGGTGGTGGAGGTGATCGTGGTGGTAGAGATGATGGAGGTGCTGGAGCAGAACTAGTTGTGGGTTGGCCAGAAACCAATATGAAGAAGAGTAAATTGAAGATGAGCAAGAGTGCTCTGGAAACACGACATTTTGAAGTCATAGCGTGAGATAGACACCAGAAGCCCAGGGAAGACCGGAACGAGGATACAAAAATGAGCCGGAGTCTCGAAGTGCATGTCCCAGCCGTGCAGTAGTTCATCGAATTTATAAAGGGCTAGGAGGGGAAGTAGGCGACCCTTATGAACAGTAGGCTCTGCTAAACTCACTGCCAGGCAAGAACTTCCAGTTGAATGGGTTGGGCGGAGGTTGTTGGTTTGTTTTGTCATACTCTTCTTTGCTTTTTGAATAAATTAAAACCACTACGAAAAAAAGTAGGTAATCTTAGGCCTGTCTTAGTTCTTCCCTTCGAACCTTTCGTGAAAAGGAGAAAAATCATGGGTTGAACAGCCTAACCTGTTGTGGTGCAAATCATCCTACACAAAGGACCAGAGGGGGGGGGGGGTCCCATTGTAACGATGCCCGATATGGGACTAACCATGTGGATACCCCCACTCCATTTTTCTTTCGATTGAATACAATAATTTCCCACTTGGAAAGAAAAACTCTCTCCCCACGCCCATGAACATCTTCGTGAACGTCGCGTCGCGCCCACGAACATCTTTGTGCACGTCTCCTGACTGCTGCCGCGTCATGATCCCATTCCACGAGAGACATCAATGAGCTCCCACCAAGGGAACAGTTCCAACACGTGCTACCGGGCGAGGCCGTCAGTCGCCGCAATTCGTACGGAGGTTTCCACGTCAGACGCTATCTGCGTCTCTCCAGCGCATGGCACCTACTTGCATTATGCGCCACACAAGCGACTATTTCTGTTTGGCGCTCATTAATTTTGTTCCAATGGGCTGCATGCCATCTGCGTGCACGCTACACCAGACGATCCAGCACATTCTCTCCTGTGCCAGTACCGTCGCCACACTCCCGCCACCCGTACACCCGTCTCCTCTTCGAGAATTCCCCCACTCCGACGACGAGACCTCTCTCTTTCAAAGCTTCCCTCCTCTCCTCGACTTTCCCCTTCTTTCCCTCCTCGAGGATAAAGTCAGCCTCCCGGTTCAACCCGGTCGAGAGGTTCTTAGGCCTCCTGCACGATCACCCGTGCCAGCGCTGGCCCTTTCAGCCGCTACCCCTCTTTCCCCGGTCTCCGCATCTGCATAGGAAAGACCAGTACCATTCTCTCTCTCTCATCTGATATGTTTCATCCATCAGCCGGTACCCCTCTTTCTCCCTATTTAAGGCAGCCTTCGTCCAGCACTGAAGCCACACCCCCGGCGTTCCATCCCTGTCGCTCTCTCTCTCTCTCTCTCTCTCCCACTCCATTTCCTAGACAGTGTCCGGGGGCTCTACATCCCGTGAGGCGCAGAGATGGGAAACGTGCAGAATAGTTGGCGGCTGCTGACAACTAGGAAAAAGTCCGGCACATCCTGTGCTCCGAGTCGAACCTTTCTGTTTCGTCGATACTGAGTCTTATACACAATTCTCCCTATTTAAGGCAGCCTTCGTCCAGCACTGAAGCCACACCCCCGGCGTTCCATCCCTGTCGCTCTCTCTCTCTCTCTCTCTCTCCCACTCCATTTCCTAGACAGTGTCCGGGGGCTCTACATCCCGTGAGGCGCAGAGATGGGAAACGTGCAGAATAGTTGGCGGCTGCTGACAACTAGGAAAAAGTCCGGCACATCCTGTGCTCCGAGTCGAACCTTTCTGTTTCGTCGATACTGAGTCTTATACACAATTCTCCCTATTTAAGGCAGCCTTCGTCCAGCGCTGAAGCCACACCCCCAGCGTTCCATCCCTGTCGCTCCCTCTCTCTCTCTCTCTCTCCCACTCCATTTCCTAGACAGTGTCCGGGGGCTCTACATCCAGTGAGGCGCAGAGATGGGAAACGTGCAGAATAGTTGGCGGCTGCTGACAACTAGGAAAAAGTCCGGCACATCCTGTGCTCCGAGTCGAACCTTTCTGTTTCGTCGATACTGAGTCTTATACACAATTCTCCCTATTTAAGGCAGCCTTCGTCCAGCGCTGAAGCCACACCCCCAGCGTTCCATCCCTGTCGCTCTCTCTCTCTCTCTCTCTCTCTCTCCCACTCCATTTCCTAGACAGTGTCCGGAGGCTCTCCATCCCGTGAGGCGCAGAGATGGGAAGCCTGGACGCTAACTGCAACGCTTCTCCCAGAGGGTTCAGCCCTCTGGATATCGACGATTTCCGCCAGCAAGCCCATCAGACCATTGAGTTCATCTGCGAGTACTACAAGGGCATCGAGAGCCACCCCGTCGTCCCCCAGGTGGAGCCCGGCTATCTCCGCCGTCTCCTCCCCGAGTCCCCCCCCGCCCAGCCCATGCCGTTCGCCAAAGTGCTGAGCGAGGTCCAGGCCACCGTCTTCCCCGGCATGACCCACTGGACCAACCCCAACTTCTTCGCCTACTTTCCCGCCACGCTGTCGTCCGCCGCCCTGTGCGGCGACCTGCTTGCCTCCGCCTTGAACCCCGTGGCCTTCAACTGGCTCTCCTCGCCCGCCGTTACCGAGCTGGAGAGCCTCACGCTGGACTGGCTGGCCCAGCTGATCCGACTCCCCAAGGGCTTCCTCTTCTCCGCCGGCGGCGGCGGGGTGCTCCAAGCCACCACCAGCGAGGCCATCCTGTGCACCCTGGTGGCGGCCCGGAAGATGGTGCTGGAGCGCGCCGGCCACGACGGCGCCGACAAGCTCGTGGTCTACGCCTCCGATCAGACCCACTCCACCTTCGCCAAGGCCTGCAAGATCGCCGGCATCGCACCCGCCAACATCCGGATCATTCCCACGGCCCGGGAAGACTTGTTCTCCCTTCGACCCGACTCGCTGCGGGCCGCCATGGAGGCTGACACGGCGGGTGGCTTGCTCCCCGCCTACGTGTGCGCCACGGTCGGCACCACCTCCTCCACCGCCGTCGACCCGGTGGCGGGGCTGGCCGAGGCGGCCAGCCGATTCGGCGCCTGGGTGCACGTCGACGCGGCGTACGCGGGCAGCGCCTGCGTCTGCCCCGAGTTCCGCCACCATCTAGACGGGGTCGACCGGGTCGACTCCATCAGCATGAGCCCCCACAAGTGGCTCCTCACGGGTCTCGACTGCTGCTGCCTCTGGGTGCGGGACCGCGCTCGGCTCACCACCTCGCTCTCCACAGATCCCGAGTACCTCAAGAACCGCGCCACCGAGTCCGGGGCGGTCGTCGACTATAAGGACTGGCAGGTACAGCCCTCTTCCTTCCGTCACCCCTCTCCAACAGCGAAAATTCCCGTGTTCTGCGGGAATTCCCATTGATTCCCGATTCAAATATCGGTCGTCCCCACTTCCAACGCCGCCCACATCTAGAGTCTGATCTCTTTTCTTCTGGCAGCAGATCGGAACCGGCCGGCGGTTCAGAGCACTGAAACTGTTCATGGTGATGAGGTGTTACGGCACCGCGAACCTGCAGTCGCACATCGGGAGCGACGTCCGGATGGCCCGGGGCTTCGAGGAGATGGTCGCCGCCGAACCCCGGTTCGAGGTGGTCGTCCCCCGGCGGTTCGCTCTCGTCTGCTTCCGCATGCGGCCGCGCCGCGTCGGCGCAGACGGCGAGGCGGAGGCGGACGCAGCGAACCGCAGGCTTCTGGAGGAGGTGAACAACAGCGGCGGGATCTACGCCACCCATACGGTCATCGGGGGGATGTACGTCATCCGCTTCGCGGTGGGCACCACGCTGACCCAGGAGCGGCACGTCAAGGTGGCCTGGGAGCTCTTCCGGGACAAAGCCGAAGCCGCCTGGGAAGCTGTCCAGTGACCATTTGATCGGATTAGATTCTTTATAACCTAAAAGAAAGTAAATTTCGTATTCAGTCCTGATTCCATTATCATGTCCCTTCCTAAGGACACTCTTCCCCTTCGTCTTTGTGATTTCGAGGGTACGATACCACTGTAATCACCAATCGTCAAGATGCAAACAATCCAAGCTGAATGGCCAAAATACTGTCAACCTTCTCGACTTTTACTCTTTCACGATGCTCCAATTGGATCTAGGACATGTCACTCTTGTAACTGAGCACAATTTATGTAAAATCTACCCGGAGAAGGAGGTGGCTATAGCCATATGATTTTTAGCTTCTTTATTTTATCTGTTTCATAACTCTGAAACAGATAATGTTTGTTTCTACACTTTATCTAAAATCTACATTGTATGTTGATATTATACACTATTCTCTTCAACTAGCACAGTACGTATTTCTCCACAAATGTGGTACAACAAAGTCACAATTGAATTAGGTCATATGCATGTTAATTATGTTTCTCTTGGATCATTAGATGTTATGACTGATAATGTTTCCTAACCATTAGAACCATTTATATGATCAGTTACAAAATAAAACTGTGGTACTATCTCTTGTAATGTCATTGGAATTAGACCTTTCATCTTTAGAAGTGAAGGGCAGAAAAAGGTTGAATTAAATGATTTATTTCCTCATGAATATATTCTTGCCTTGCATAGTAAACTCACACCATGGTATGCACATATAGTCAATTATTTAACAATTGGTAAAATCTCATCACAGTGGGAAAAAGATGAATGCGAATGATTCTTTACTCATGTTCAATATTATTTTTGGGTTGACTGTAATTTATTTCATCTAGATTCAGATCAAATTTTACGAAGATGCATTCATGAGAAAGAACAATTTCAAATTTTAAAACATTGTCATTCTTATAGATGTGGGTGTCATTTTGTAGGCAAGAAAACAACAGCAAAATTTTACAATGTGATTTCTATTGGCTATCTTTATTTAAAGATGTTCACACATTTTATAGATAATATATCAAATGTCAGGCTGCTATTAATATTCAAAAATAAAATTTAATGCCTTTAAAATCAGTAATTGTAGAAATTTTTAATGTTTATGACATTGATTTTATGGGACCCTTTCCTTCACCTTGAGGCTATGAATATATTTTGTTATTTGTTGATTATGTGTCAAAGTGGGTAGAAGTTATTCCAACAAGGACAAATGATCATAAAGTAGTTATCCAATTTGTCCAGAGTAATATTTTTATACGATTTAGATGTGTTAAAGTAATAGTTAGTGATGAAGGAACTCATTTTGCTAATCATCACTTTACAATTTTACTTAAAAAATATGGTGTTGATCATAGGATAGCTACCCCATATCATACTCAAACAAATGGTCAAGCAAAACTAGCCAATAGAGAAATAAAAAGTATTTATAGAAAGTTGTCTACTTTATAGAAAGTTGTCTCTCCCAATAGAAAGATTAGTCTAAAAAATTAAATGATGCATTATGAGCATATAGGACAACATACAAAGCTCTTTTAGGTGCATCACCTTATAGATTAGTTTATGAAAAATCGTGTCATTTACTAGTGAAAATTCAACACCATGCATATTGGACTATTAGGAAGCTTAATATGGATACAGAAAAAAAAAGGTCATAAGACATTTTTACAATTGTATGAATTAGATGAAATTTGTAATGAAGCTTATGAGGATTCTCTGATTTATAAGGCTAAAGTTATGGATTTCCATGATAGACATATCATTAGAAAAATCTAGAACTAGGATAAAAAGTTTGGTTGTACAATTCTAGATTAAAATTATTTTTCTGAAAAATTAAGATCTAAGTGAGACAGTCCATATCTTCTTGAGACTATTGATCAATATGGGGCAGCAATGATCAAAGATTTGAATATAGGTGTAAGTTTTAAACATAATGGGTATCGGCTCAAAACATACTTAGAACCTGAACAAGAGAAAGAAATTGAGAGAATAGATTTGTTAGAATTGATTTAAGCTCACATGTGTCTAGCTGAACACATTAAACTTAGTGCTAATGGGGAGGTAACCTAATAATTTTATTTTTTCATAATTTAATTTATGTTTTCTACTTAATAAATTTAGAATTCAGTTGCTCCTTATTTCATTTCAATCTTATGTCATAAATTTATTTTTTATCATGTTATACTTGCTGATTTATGAGTATACATCTTTTGCTTCACAGTTTAATTTGATAATATATTTCATGTCATTGAGGACAATTTGGATTTTAATTGGGGGGGAGGAAAGAAAATTCAATTAGAATTATCACTTGAATAATTAGTATAGAAGGAAATTTTAAAACTAGTCTTGATGAATTCATAAATTTCTACATTTTTCCTACAGGATGGTAAATTCATTTAAGTATAAAGGTTAAAGTGTGTTAGATTTAGTGACTTCAAGAGATAAAAAATATATATATAGTACATTGATGGATGAAATATTTTTAGAATCTATCTTGATGATCATGATCCATATGTTATGAATTCTCATTTTGAATTAGTAGGAATCATGAAGTTGGATATGATGAGTTTGAAATTGTATTAAAACTATTGGAAGCTAGACATTCTTAGCATGAAGAATCTTAAGTAGTTGACTATTTGTCTTATGTATATATGAAAAAAAATAAATCCATCATATGGTAGAGTGTAAGACCCAACTCACGAAAAAAAATATACATATATGGAGATTAGTCAAAAAAATTATTTTAAAGAAAGTGTGACTGTCAATTTAGTCACTTATCGATAGTTACTCTTGGATTAGTCTCCTTCAAGTATCTAACTAATCCTTGGAAACTCTAATATGAGGGTCTAGGGGTATTAGATCTAGGGGCTTGTGGGGTGCTAAGCTGTGTGCGATCTCGAAGGGGCTCATGCTAGTGGTACGATTGGTCGAAGAGTTATAGGCAAACTCGGCGCATGGTATGATTAGATCCCAAGTGGTCAAGCTCTCGCCGACTAATGACCGAAGTAGATTCCCTAAGTTACGATTGACAACTTTGGTCTGGCCGTCAATCTGTGGGTGGTAAGCAGTAGAGAACTTGAGCTTAGTCCCAAGTAAGCTCCAAAGAGTCCTTCAGAAGTGGCTGATAAATCAGACGTCACGATCTGAGACTATGGACTTGGGTAGTCCATGAAGGCGCACAATCTCTCTAAAGTAGAGGCTAGTGACCTTGGAGGTGTCGGAGGTTTTCGAACATGGCATGAAGTGTGCCATCTTTGAAAACCTATTGACGACCACCATGATTGAGTTGTGTCGTCGTGTAATGTGCGGGAGTCCCAAAACGAAGTCTATGCTAACATCCTCCCATGGACGGGTTGGCATTGGAAGTGACGTGTAGAGTCCAGCATTCTTCTTTACCTGCTTGGTGAGTGCGCACACTCGACACTGAGCAATGATGTTCCGTACATCACGCTTGAGGGTCAACCAGTAGAACTGGTACATGACCGCTGCGATGGTCTTATCGTGACCAAACTGGCCAGATAGACCTCCTATGTGACATTCCCAAGTGAGGAAGTCACAGAGAGATGTGCCTGGAACGCATAGTCTGCCTCTAAAGAACATACATCTGTTGACCACAAGGAAGTCTTTATGATCTCGGGATGGACCCTCCGAGAGTGCTCGTACTATATATTTATTTATTTTTCCAACTTGAAGGCATTCAAATGAATTTGGGTTCACCTTGAATCTGAGTTTTGTTCAGAGGGGCCTTCTCTCTTAATCTCTTTCTGCTCTTTTCATCTTATTTATTAAATTGCTAAGAAACAAGAAGTCTTGCTCACTTTGCTGAGAAAACTCTTTTTAGTTCTCTCTTTCTCTCCTCTCTCTCTCTCTACCCACAAATGGTTGCAGCCTTGCTTTCTTACTAAGTTGATTCCATCTCCATCGCTTACTTAGTCCCATTTCATCATAGAGAACCCTTTTTAGTTCTCCCTCTCTCTCCATCTCTCTCTATACACACAAAGGGTTGCAACCTTGCCTTCTTAGTAAGTTAGTTCCCCTTAATCTTCTCTCTAGCCCCGGTTTGGTTCTCTACTTTGTATAAGGCAATCCTTCTACAGAGGTGGATCTGTCTCCGTCCTCAATATCTTCGCCAACTAAGGACAAGCGAACCCAATCGGCAGGGTCAGCCCACAGAGATTCAGCAGAAGCTTGATATCGCCTGGGATGCTGATGTTGATACCCAGGATGTTTGCCTTGATCGCAATGCAAAGGCATGAAGCAGCCTGGTTCGCTGACAGGGTCTTGATGATAGTACAGCAGAGCCCGTTAGGATTTCCGAGACCGAGGAATTTCAGGATGGTGAGCACTGGAGCGCAAATGGCTAGGGATATTATGTTAATAACACATCTCAGAATCGGAAAGGCTGGCGGAGGAGGTGCAGGCACCGGTTCCGGGCTAGGGGTTTGGCCAGAAACTAGTGTAAAGAAGAGCAAATGGAAGATGAGTAGGAGTGCAGCTTTGACATGAGAGTTTGAAGCCATAATGAGGCTGATACTAAACCAGCTAAGAGCGGAGAATTAAAGGAATGAAGGGGCAATGCTGCTGGCCAGTGTGTGCTTGAATGGTAGAAACGCAGGTGCTCTCATAGAGTTGGTTCTAACGGAAGCGAGGGATACCCATACCGAGAGTTGCTTTCGTCATAATCCCACAAATTCAACGGACAGTTGGCTGCTGGAATTGACTTGATTCGTTGTTGGACTTCCCGTTTGTTCTAAAGTCTACATTTCTTAATCTTACGAAACCTTTCATCTTCTCATTTATTGGAACGCAGGCAGCTACATCTGCTTGAACTCGAAATCTGTCCGATTAGGTGGGTATTGGGTTTCTGATCGCGTGTCGAAAGCTGGACTGAAACTTCAAGGCTCTTGCAAAAACTGACCTTCGAAGATAATAAAGAGAATTATTGACGAGGATGATGAAGAAAACCTGTATGAGTCCAGAAAAAAGTATGTTTTACGTACACGCATTCCGTATCAATTTTGCTACATGTCTTTAGTTAGATGAAGTATTTCGGACTCTCACAAAGATGCATCCTCGACATGAGTGGAGAGATGCGAATTGAAGACTGGCACAGAGGAGTTTACTGCTTTAACCTAACGTTAGTGGACGTATGTATTTTACATGCAAAAACCTGACCACTCTGGATAAACGTTCGCATTATCCTTTCATACGGCGAAATAACAACTCCTGTAATCAACGTCCTCAAGGATCCATTACAGTTGATGAACGAATTAATGGTTACAACAACCTTGGCGAGAAGACCATCAGAAATTGGCGTGATTAATGCTGTCGTGTGTCAGTTTCTAATAGGCAACCATCAAGTAGGCATGATTTAAGAAATCGAAAGGCAACTTGTTCAGACCTAGTTGAGGTCGTTAATGCTTACGATCACATCCATAGCTGATATGCATAACGTGGAAATGTGTTAGCTACCTCTTCCGGCTGCCAACATTTTATTGGACGAAACTGGATGTAATGCTTAGTAATGCCGTGCATCTCCGCACATCGCTTTCTGTAAATTAGTCAAAAGTGTTACCCAATAGCAGGTTAGGGGAAGCAATGTCACGCATCGCTTTATGTTGGCCATCCCAACATAATCTGAAGAAAACTTGCTGAATATGATAATCACGGAGGATAAATATAATTTTCTGTCTAAACTACTGGAAAGGCGGTTGCCCCAGAGTAAACAATGTTAATGAGAAAATGAAAAAAGCATGTTTGAATATTATCTAAGTTTCGGTTCTAAGAGACTAAGTGGAAAAAGTTCTTCCAAGTCACTTTCACCCTCTAATAAAACCTGTGTGAAATCAAGTTACACTGCTAGTTTTACCTTTTTGCCTTATTGAATGGCAACAAACTCCATTGATTAGGGACTAATTTGCTTCTTCCATTACCATATTTCCCTGTCTGAGATGACAAGATGAGCAACTGCAAATAGGATAGATTTCTGTGATAAGCTGCGTGACTATGATTTTCATGTCTGTTTCATATGGTCAATGCTCCAATGGGCATGATTTAAGAAACTGAAGGCAACTTGTTGAGACCTAGCTAAACTTAGTGGTGGTTGGGCCAATCATTCTTGATGAGTCATGAACGAGGAATATATCTCAAAGAACTATATTCTACTAGAAGCGATTGCAACACATTTGTTGTGATCATCACCACACACATCACGACTCTTTGTGATTTTCTTCAGCCGATGTATTTAATTTTATTTCTCCCAAGCTGAGAGTTTGCACAGATGTGGGACCATGGGGATCCAAGGGAGAGGAGAATGGGAGCATGGGAGTATGGGGGATTGATAAGTCTTCATTATCATGAGTTAATAATTAGTAAATAATATAGTTTTAATCTTAACTCATGATAAATAGCCTTATATTTGTGTTAAAATGTGAAAAGTGGTTTTCAGTTGATTAACATGAATTTTTGGGTAATTATATAATTTTATATGATTTTTACAGTCTTACTTTTGAGATAAATGAAGGAAAAGAAATTAAAATAAAAATATAGTAAAAATGAGGGGGGGGCGCCAGTCAATTGGGCCTACAAGCAGGTCGAAAATACAGTTGGGCAGGAGCTGCGAGCAGGGCTCAAGCAGCTTGAACCAATGGGGGCACGTGTGTGTCACTCCCCTTCCATGTCACTAGTGGTCAGCTAACTGTGGGGCAAGGAATGGTCATACACGTGCAAGAAAGGGACTTGATCAAGAATGTAATATTACTTTATATTCATCAGAAATGTGGTGCACAACCGATGTGGGACTAAACCCACGTCACCTTCCCCAGAAAGGGCGGGCAACTAGCATGGGTTTGAATCCTCCTAGAACCAAAACTCATATTATTTTATCTGATTATCGTGACTTTTCTACAGATCGCCGATGAAGGATTAAGCAACTAGAATCACTAGATCATCGGCAAAAATCTCATAAATGAAATTTGCCGAGCATTGATACTAAAATTATTGAATGATTCGTGATAAAAAGATCATGAATCCATTGAGTAAAGCATCTCTAATTGATCAACAAACAAGTCGTTGTCGAGGATGATCCGTCGGGAGACGAGTTGCCACCTCCTAAGAGCGTACCAGATGTGATGAAAAGCCTCCTCTTGCTACGCAGACCTAAGGATGAAGCTCCTTGACATGTGCCCTACCTCCATCTAGCTCCTCTCTATCGGGTGACAACTGTCGAAGAGTCGCAATGTCGCTATTTTTCTACTTCATTGGGTGACAGCCACCAAAGATGACTCGGCGACTCATTTCATTGATCTCTAGACTTCGCAAGGAGATCTAGAGATTGCCCATACTGTCCTTGTCCAAAGAGAGCCTTCAAGGCCATAGACACTGCATGACAATTCTCCTAAATGCTCAGGATTTTGGTGCATTGCCGACACATCGCCACCATGACGTCAGAACTCTGTTTTCCTGCTTTCAACTTACTTTACGCTTTATTTAGTGATAATTTATAATTTATGTGATTTTAATTTACCAAAATATACCTCGTTCAATTACGATTCTTTCGGCTTTTATAGATCTTAATTTGATCAATTAAATCGTCTATAATCTCTTACGTAAGAATCACTGGGCGAAACTCTATTTCTGCCTAATTTGTGTTCACTGGGCACTGACGTCCTCTTGATGTAAGCACCCTTATTTTCCTTTTTCATGAATTTTAAATATATTTCCTTTTCATTTCCTAGTATAAAATTCATATAAAATAGTGTTATTTGAGGAAAATTCTGAATAATTACCAAATATTATATTACATGCTTGTGATTGACCTGGAAAATGACTGCTATTTTTTGGAAGTTTTATTAAACTATAATTGATATATTTGTTCAGAAATACTTCTAAATATTTGAAAAATTATATTTCCTAGTTTTATAAATTTTAGATTTTAGATTTGTGTGATTTAATATACAATGACTAAACCATGTCAAATTTTGGCACTGTTGTCGAAGATGTATTGCATAATATTTAGTATTTTTTATTTTTCTCTTAGAGTACACAAAAAAAAAATTAACTCTTATTTTATTTTCTTCTTACTGAAATTTTTTTTTTAGAAAAAGAAAATGAAAAAAAGCAAGACAAGGACTAGAGTGATGTAGGACAGGGCGAGAACCCCCTGTACTTGATCAATGAAACTCAAGACTCAGGATGGGGTAGTCAGTCCGATTTGATAAGAATGTTTGCACCCTAGACTCTAGGTCTGACCACATAACCTAAGCACAAGCAGAAGTACCAATATGCATGATCAACCTAGGATAAACCGGGAAAACACTCGACGATGGTAAGTGTGAGGCCCTCTTTGTCCACGTCCAGACAGACAACTGAACTGTCGTCGTGAAGTAGCCTAAGGCTGCAGCTCACAACTGTGATGAGTCTGGCACAACGTCGGAAGTCACGATGTGATAACCTATCCTATCCAGTCTACATGCTCTTGATGGTGGTAGAGACGAGTCGAGAAAACCCTTCGAAAGATAATTAAACTTCAGTAAGAAGGGGTATAGAGCTAACATTCAAGGCTGTGTAGCCTGGTGGGTCGTGAAGGAGTAGAGATCTGACGAAGGCAAGAATGTCTGGTGAAGAGCGATGCTCAGCGTCAACAGTCGGTCTTGATTGAGAGTCACCGTAGCCGTCATCATAAGGCATGGCACGGTCGACGTGGGCGTGGGCCCACTGGTAGGCTGAAGGGCACACTAGTGGGTGCATGCAGCAAGCCACGCGGCGGTCTTAGGGCACGTGAATGATGGTGCCGGGTGGGTGTGTGGGCAGCAAGAACCAACGTGCGGGGTGCGTGCAGTGGCGGTGCTTCAGCAGGAATGCTGAGCATCAGCGGCACTTCAGCGGGAAGGCCGAGTGTTAGCGGCGCTTCGCTGGGAATGCCGAATGTCAGCGGCGCTTCGGCAGGAATGCCGAGTCTCAGTAGTGCTTCGGCAAGAAGGTCGAGCGACAGCGGTGCTTCGCTAGGATGCCGAACGTCAGTAGCTCTCTGCTGGGAATGCCGAACGTCAGTGGCACTTTGGCAGAAAGGTCGACTGTCAGCGGCGCTTTGCCGAGTGACATGACTTAGTCGTTGTATATTAAATCACGCAAATAAAAATTTATAAAACTAGAAAATACGACTTTTTGGATATTTAGAAGTATTTCTAAATAAATATATCAATTATAATTCAATAAAAATTATAAAAATAGCAATAATTTTCCAAGTCGATCACAAGGATGTAATATGATATCTGGTAATTATTCAGAATTTTTCTCAATGAATACGATTTTCTATGAATTTTATACTAGGAAATAAAAAGGAAATATATTTAAAATTCACGAAAAAAGGAAATAAGGGCATGGACATCAGGATGATGTCAGCACCTGGTGAGCACGAATCAAGCAGAAACAAAGTTCCGCCCGACGATTCTTACGTAAGTGATTACAAACGATTTAATTGATCAAATTAAGATCTGTAAAAGCCAGAAGAATCGTAATAGAACAAAGTATATTTTGGTAAATTAAAAACACAAAAATTATCACTAAATGAAGCGTAAAGTAAATTGAAAGCAGGAAAACAAAGTTCCGGCGTCGCAACAATGATGCATCGGCGATGCACCAGAATCTTAAGCGTTCGGGAGGATCATCGTGCAATGTCCACGGCCTCGAAGGCTCTTCTTGGACAAAGATGATGTGAGCAATCTCTAGATCTTCTCGCGAAGGCTAGAGATCAATGAAGTGGGTCGTCAAATCATCTCCGACGGCTATCACCCGGCAGAGCAGAAAAACGATGACTTTGCGGCTCTCCGACAGCTATCACCCAACGGAGAGGAGCTGGACGGAGGTGGGGTGCGTGTCAAGGAGCTTCATCCTCAGGTCCGTACAATAAGAGGCTCTTCGTCGCATCTAGTATGCTCTCAGGAGGTGGAGACTCGTCTCCCGACGGATCGTTCTCTTCCCAACGACGGCTTGTTCGTCAATCAATCAGAGATGATTTACTCGATAGATTGCGATCCTTTTCTCGCGAATCGTTCAGCAATTTTAATAGCAATGCTCTGCGAATTGTGTTGACGAGATTTTCGCCGATGATCTAGTGATTCTTGTTGCTTAATCCTTCACTGGTGATCTGTAGAAAAGTCACAATAATCAAATAAAAATATATGAATTTTGACTTTGGGAGGATTCAAACCCTTGCCTGTCGCCTGCCTGTGAGGAAGGTGTGACGGGGGTTTAGTCCCACATCGATTGTGTGCTGATTTTTTGGGCAAATATATAGTAATGTTAGCTTTATAAGCAAAGTCACTACTCTTGCGTGTACGACCACTCCTTGCCCCACAGCCGACTGGCCACTAGTGACGTGGAAGGGGAGTGGCACACACGTGCCCCTATCAGTCCAAGCCAAGCCGCTCGAGCCCCTACTTGTGGCTACTCCCCAACTGCACTTTTGACCCGCTTGCGAGCCCGGCTGGCCGGCGGGTCCCCTTATTTTATAATATTTTTATTTCTTGTTCTTCATTTATCTCAAAAGTAAGATTGTAAAAATCGTATAAAATCACATAATTACTCAAAAATTCACGTTAATCAACTAAAAACCATAAATCATACATTAACACAAATACAAGTCTATTTATCATGAGTTAAGGTTAAAACTATATTATTTACTAATTATTAACTCATGATAATGAAGACTTATCATTGGGAATGCTGAGCGTCAGCGGCGCTTTATCGAGAAGGCCGAGTGTCAATGGTGCTGGAAACGGCGTGACAGTGGTGGGGAATCATTAGGAAACTCCGGCAGGGCCTGTGAGGAGCTGAGACTAGATCTGGCTCATCGGCACGTCAACAGAGTCTCTCTCGATGTTGGTGGCAGGTTGGCATTCATCGGCAAATGCCCAGTGAATGGGCGGACCAGCAGAGGGCGGCCCTAACAAGTTTGGGGTGGAGTTCCAGAGGAAGAGGTGACAGTCGAACCAAGAGTCGAGAGACTCCGGTGGAGTGCTCGGCGACGGCTCGTAGGGAGGCAATGCGAGCCCCTTTCATCATGACAGCGTGATGGGGTTCCATCAGAGGCGGCGGCGGCTGCAGCGACAACCACGACTATTTTGTCCGGTGACAGTGGCAAGCTCCTGAGTGGCAATGAGATGGCCAGCGGCGATAGTGGTCTCAAGTGGCAGCAAGACTTCTCGGGTAGTAGTGTCACGAGGAAAAAAGTCCTTGAAGGAGGTATCGATGGCCTTCCTCTTCCTCCCCTCCCTATCCTAGATCACGGAGAAGGTACTCACAAAATGGTAAGCTCTCTCAAAAATATGGCGCTCTTTTGACGGGGGTGATAAGTCTTCATTATCATGAGTTAATAGTTATTAAATAATATAGCTTTAGCCTTAACTCATGATAAATAGACTTATATTTGTGTTAAAGTGTGAAAAGTGGTTTTGAATTGATTAATGTGAATTTTTGGGTATTATGTGATTTTATACAATTTTTACAGTCTTACTTTTGAGATAAATGAAGAACAAGAAATAAAAAATAAAAATATTGCAAAATGGGGGGACCTGTTGGCCAATCGGACCTACAAGCAGGTCGGAAGCGCAGTTGGGGAGTAGCTGCGAGTAGGGGCTCGAGTGGCTTGACTTGGACCGATAGGGGCACATGTGCACCACTCCCCTTCCACGTCACTTGTGGCCAGCTGGCTGTGGGGCAAGGAGTGGTTGTACACTCGAGAGAAGGGACTTTGCTTACAAAGCTAACATTACTATATATTTGCCCAAAAAATCGGCACACAACCGATGTGGGACTGATAAGTCTTCATTATCATGAGTTAATAATTAGTAAATAATATAGTTTTAGCCTTAACTCATTATAAATAGACTTATATTTGTGTTAAAGAATGATTTTTGGTTTTCAATTGATTAACGTGAATTTTTGGGTAATTATGTGATTTTATACGATTTTTACAGTCTTACTTTTGAGATAAATGAAGAACAAGAAATAAAAAAAAAAATATTGCAAAAATGAGGGGACCCATCGGCCAGCCGTGCCCGCAAGCGGGTTGGAAGCGCAGTCGGGGAATAAGCCACGAGCAGGAGCTCGAGCGGCTTGGCTTGGGGACCGATAGGGCACACGCATACACGCCACTCCCCTTCCACGTCACCAGTGGTCAGCCGGCTGTGGGGCAAGGAGTGGTCATGCAAGCGCGAGAAGGATCTTTGCTCAGAAAGCTAACATTAGTATATATTCGCCCGAAAAATCGGCATACAACCGATGTGGGACTAAACCCCCATCACACCTTCCTCAGAAGAGGCGGGCGACCCACGTGGGTTCGAATCCTCCCAGAGTCAAAATTCATATATTTTTATCTGATTATCGCGACTTTCCTATATATCACCGGTGAAGGATTAAGCAACGAGAATCGCTGGATCATCGGCGAAAATCTCGTCAATGCGATTCGCGAAGCATTGCTACTAAAATTGCTGAACGATTCGCGATAAAAGGATCGCAAATCCATCGAGTAAATCATCTCCGATTGATCGACGAACAAGCCGTCGTCGGGAAGAGGATGATCCGCCGGGAGACCAGTCGCCACCTCCTGAGAGCATACCAGATGCGATGAAGAGCCTCCTCTTGCTGCGCGGACCTGAGGATGAAGCTCACGCGCCCCACCTCCATCCAGCTCCTCTCCGTCGGGTGACAGCCGTCGGAGAGCCGCAAAGTCGCCGTTTTTCCGCTTCGCCTGGTGACAGCCGCCGGAGACGATTCGACGACCCACTTCATTGATCTCTAGACTTCGCGAGAAGATCTAGAGATTGCCCATGTCGTCTTTATCCAAGGAGAGCCTTCGAGGCCATGGACACTGCACAACAATCCTCCCGAACGCTCAGGATTCCAGTGCATCGCCGACGCATCACCGTCGCGACACTGGAACTTTGTTTTCCTACTTTCAATTTAATTTACGCTTCATTTAGTGATACTTTGTGTGATTTTAATTTACCAAACTATACTTCGTTAAATTACAATTCTTCCGGCTTTTACAGATTTTAATTTGATTAATTAAGTTGTCTGTAATCGCTTACGTAAGAATCGCCAGGCAGAACTCTGTTTCTGCCTGATTCGCATTCGCCGGGCGCTGACGTCATCCTGACGCCCGCACCCTTATTTCCTTTTTTCGTGAATTTTAATTATATTTCCTTTTTATTTCCTACTATAAAATTCATAAGAAAATCGTCCTCATTGAGAAAAATTCTGAATAATTACCAGATATTATATTACATTCCTGTGATCGACTTGGAAAATTACCGCTATTTTTGGAATTTTTATTGAATTATAATTGATATATTTATTTAGAAATACTTCTAAATATCTAAAAATTTGTATTTTCTAGTTTTATAAATTTTATATTTGCGTGATTTAATATACAATGATTGAGTCACATCATGGGCTAAAGTCACATCACACCTTCCTTAGAAGAGGCAGGCGACCAGTGCGGGTTCGAATCCTCCTAGAGTCAAAATTCATATATTTTTATCTGATTATCATGACTTTCCTACAGATCACCGGTGAAAGATTAAGCAACGAGAATCGCTGGATCATCGGCAAAAATCTCATCAACACAATTCATGGAGCTTTGCTACTAAAATTATTGAATGATTCACGATAAAAGGATCGTGAATCCATCGAGTAAATCATCTCTAATTGATCGACGAACAAGCCGTCGTCGAGAAGAGGACGATCCGTCCAGAGACGAGTCGCCACCTTTTGAGAGTATACCAGATGCGATGAAGAGCCTCCTCTTGCTGCGTGAACCTGAGGATGAAGCTCCCTAACACACACCCCACTTCTATCCAGCTCCTCTTCGTCGAGTGACAGCCGCCGGAGAGTCGTAAAGTCGCTGTTTTTCTACTTTGCCGGGTGACAATCGCCGGAGACGACTCGATGACCCATTTTATTAATCTCTAGACTTTGCGAGAAGATCTAGAGATTGCCTACGTCATCTTTGTCCAAGGAGAGCCTTCGAGGATGTAGACACTACACGACGATCCTCCTAAACACTCAAGATTCCAATGCATCATCGACGCATCGCCATCGCGATGCCAAAACTCTATTTTCCTACTTTCAACTTACTTTATGCTTCATTTAGTGATAGTTTTTGTGATTTTAATTTACCAAAATATACTTTATTCTATTACGATTCTTCTAACTTTTACAGATCTTAGTTTGATTAATTAAATTGTCTATAATTACTTATGTAAGAATCATCAGGCAGAACTCTATTTCTGCCCAATTTGTGTTTGTCGGGCGTTGACATCATCCTGACATATGCACCCTTATTTCTCTTTTTTATGAATTTTAAATATATTTCCTTTTAATTTCCTAGTATAAAATTTATAGAAAATCATATTCATTGAGGAAAATTCTGAATAATTACCAGATATTATATTACATCCTTGTGATCAACTTAGAAAATTACCACTATTTTTGGAGTTTTATTGAATTATAATCAATATATTTATTTAGAAATACTTCTAAATATCTAAAAATTCATCTTTTCTAGTTTTATAAATTTTATATTTGCGTGATTTAATATACAATGACTGAGGCACGTCAAATTTTGGCGCCATTGCTGAGGATGTATTGCATAATATTTAGTATTTTTCTTTTTTTCTTTTAGAGTACAGAAAAAAATCTAACTCTTATTTTTTTTTTTACTGATTTTTTTTTAAAAAAAAGGGAACGAAAAGAAGCAAGGCAAGGAATGGAGCATACTAAAGGAGGGTAACAATTACTAAATTTTTTCCTCGAATTTATTGATTTTAATGCATGGTAGAAGATCCTTGCATCCAAGGCTAGAAAATCCTTTCATTATTTTATTCAAAAATAAACATCCGAAAGAAAAATTAATTTTGATAGATCCTGAAGGAAGTACAAGTCAAACTAAGAACAATCCTATGGCCATGAAAAATTATTATATCCCTGATTCATTTCAAAGAGCATCCGATATTAGAGTCCCATTAGCACCCACTATTAAATTCGAAATAAATCTAAAATTTTTTCAAATGCTCCCTAATTTTCATGAATTGCCTTTAGAGAAACCTTATCAGCACTTAGAAAAAATTTATATAGTTTGTGATTTAGTTAATCTTCCTCAAGTTACACCAGAAATTATTAAGATGAAATTATTTCCTCATACACTTAGGGACAAAGCTAGTCATTGGCTGTCTACATTAGATAGAGAACTATCTAGTTGGAAAGACATAGAACAGGCTTTTCTTCGAAAATTTTATCTCTTAGGAAAAACTCAAAATATGAGAAAATATATATGTAATTTTTCTCAAAGACCAGGAGAAACTTTACATGAGATATGGGAAAGATTCAAAGATTTACTTAGAAAGTGTCCTCATCATGCTATACCTAAGTGGCAGCTCAATAGAATTTTTTATGATGGATTATTAGAACAGCATAAAAATATGATTGATTCTATATGTGGAGGAGCTTTTATGGAGAAAACTCTTAATAAGATTTACAATCTTTATGAGAATTTAAGTGAAAATTCTAGAGATCAAGCTTCTTTTGAATTATATGACAAGGATAAGAAGAGAGGAATTTATGAATTGTATCATGATGATAATTCTAAATTTAGAAATGAGGTTAATCAGATTAATCAAAGATTAGAAAAACTTGATTTACTTATTGACAATATTAGAAAGCCTCTTAATCCTCAATTTAATTCAAATAGTACACATACTATGTATGGTGAAAATGATCATTTCGAATTTCAATATCATCCTAGGCAAGAACAAGTGCAAGTACCCCACGATTTCAGTAAAAATAGAGAATATTTTTCTAATTCTTATAATCCTAATTGGGGGAATAATTTTTCATAGAGAAACCCAAACAATATTCAAAATCTAGAAGCACTTAGATCCAATTCACATTTTTAATATCATCCAAAATAGGAACATAGATTTCAAAAAAATCAGTCCTCTCAAATTCAACATGATGCTATAGAAATGATACAGCAAATGAGTCAAATGATGCAACAAACTATGAATCAAATGATGTTGCACCAGAAACAACTTATAGAGGCTCTTGGGAATAAGAGAGAAGAGGAACAGCTACCTAGTCAGCCCATAGAAAATTCAGGAAACTGTCCAACAGTAGGATTTCAGCAAGAAGAGTCTAGCTGGATAAATTTAGAAAAAAACCCACAAAATGAAAATATTAGGACAGTGAATACATAGTGAGAATATTTTACCTGATCCTTATTTCCAATTATTAGAAGAAATTGATGATCCATTAGAAGTAAATGAGAACATTAAAACTGAAAATATAGTAGCAGAAAATTTGAATAAAATCATTTATTACTCACAATTGATGAATGAATATAGTGAGGATGATGAGGAGAAAGAGCCCTTAGATGAAGAAACATCAGCTGATCATGGAAAAATCATCCAAATTTTTTGTAGAAGGGAGTAAGGACAGAAATGATGAAAAACATATTTTAGGTGAGGAAAAATCAGTTGATTTGGGAGATGTAGGAGACGAAATTAATAAATCTAATCATAATTTTGCAGCCATGGATGTTGATTGTGAGGATGATGATGTATATAATATACCGAAATTAAAAGATAGCTCTTAGGAAGATGAAGAATTTGATGAGTTGAGAAACGAAAAGCTAGAAAAAGAATTGATTCAACTAATGAGAATAAACAAAAATAATAGATATGAATATAGAGATAATTTTGGAGGAGAAAATTTGAATTTTACTGAATTCATTAGATCTGAGATTAAAGAAGACAATCCTTCCATCCTTCAAAACCCACAGCCTATTAGAATTATTTCTAAGCTTGAAATATTTCACTCCTCGCAAATTGAACAAATATGTATGGAAGATAAAATGGAGCAGGAGAAGATTATGCAGATAAAAGAAGACATTAAGAAATAGATGAATGGAAGAATTATAGATATCAATTTAGATGAAAAAATTTTAGATTGGGCAAGAGCTAATGTGAAAATTATATGGTATGCTTACATTTTATAGTCTATTAATAAAAAGTATTTATGAATGAATCAGAGCCTTACAAAACAAGATAGAAATAAGGAAAGATTCTTTTCAAAATGGAAATATTATTTTTAGGAAAAAAAATTTAATTTTCATTTTGTTTTGGCTGAAAGTATGTCAAGGTATATATATGAAGTATATGAATTTATGCTAAATCTGAAAAAGAATATCATGAAACTTACCTTGGGATACAAATATAATTTGATGGCCATAGATCATCTTATATGATCTAAGAGTTGTCCAGCTGGAGACATTAAATGCAGCACTACATGGGAGGCAACTCATAGTTTTTATTTCATTTTGTTTGATTTTTTTTAAACTCTATTTTCCTTAGAATTTCACAGTACTTGTTTCTATATTTGTTTTTTTGAAAAAGTGCAAGAGGAGGAGTGTAAGATAAGTGGAAAATTAAAAACGAGGTTGAGGTGATGTCTTTCTGAGCTTCATCATTTATGAAAATATTTTTAATGCTTAACTTTACAGATATGCATGCTTCACTTGAAAATTATATTTTCTACATACTCTATTTTGATTTTTCTGCGTCATTGAGGACAATGTCATTTTTAAGTTAGGGGGTGAAGTATTCATTATTAATTTATGCTGTAGGACGATTAAGAACATGTGTTTGCATTTTATTCAACTTAGAATAGCAACTAAAAAAATAAAAATAAAATAAAATTTAGAAAAACTGCAACATCTCTTTTCTGGTTTTCTGTTAGGAACAACAAATTGTCAAAAATAGCAAACAAAAAAATAGCCTAAAATTTGAAATTCTAGAGACCCTTTTCTCACATTTCAATCTCGTAGATATATATTACTGAAATTGGAAATTACAACTATAAAGAGGATAGTTTTGATTTATTTTTGACAAATTTATTGTGCTAAAAGTAGAATTGAAAATAGAAAATAGAATTGTCTGAACTATCTAATTTACAAATTTCTTACATCATATTGCATGCATGAAAAATTAAATCAACTAGATTGATTGATACCAAATAGATACTAGGAAGATTATTATTGAGTCAAAAAAATGATCTAGTAGCATGAAATGTTAGAATACTCCTTAGATACATGATAGATAACATGGATTTGATTTTACTAATTTTCACTTCATAATCTTGATGGATAGTATTTACTTGATGTGAAAATTTGATTGATCATTTGAGTTTAATAGAGATTTTTGTACCCTAATCTATAGGGCTTGTGAGGAGAAATCACTTATTTCAAAAAAAAAGAGAGAGCAATATGAAAATCTAGAAACAAAGAGTACACATGGAGGGTGTGAGACATCATTCTCATTGTTGAAAATCATGCATAGAAAAACACTTGCGGAAAAATAAGTGGATAAAGTGAAAGCCCTAAAAATAAAGAGTACATATGGAAGGTGTGAGGCATCATTCTTATTGTCGAAATTTGTCTACAGGAAAAGCTATTTATCCGCTATATAAAAAATAAAAAAAAAGTAAGAAATATAGTGCAAACTTCAAAAATCAAGCCATAGAAAAAGGGAAATGTAGGATCAATATTATTCTTAGATGAGTATTGATAATTGAAACATCTTGTAAATACATCTATGAGTAAATAAGTGATAAATATGTGAATAGAAGAAGTGAAGTCTAGATTGTTATTCCAAGGAGTGTTTAAACATTTAAGTGCTTGACATCATTCTTAAATACTTGGTATAAGAATCCAAAGTGTTTAAAGATGCATCATTTATAATTTTATTTTTTTCTGTATTGAAATATGATGTTTGAGATTTGTAAAATTTTATTTTTGTAATTCTATTGCTAAGGGACTAGCAATGTTTTAAGTTGGGGGGTGTGATAAGTCTTCATTATCATGAGTTAATAATTATTAAATAATATAATTTTAGCCTTAACTCATGATAAATAGACTTATATTTGTGTTAAAGTGTGAAAAGTGGTTTTCAATTGATTAACGTGAATTTTTGGGTAATTATGTGATTTTATACGATTTTTACAGTCTTACTTTTGAGAGAAATGAAGAACAAGAAATTAAAATAAAAATATTATAAAATAGGGGGACCTGCCAGCCAACCGAACCCGCAAGTGAGTTGGAAGTGTAGTCAGGCAATAGCCGCGGGTAAGGGCTCAAGTGGCTTGGCTTGGACAAATAAGGGCATGTGTGCACCACTCCCCTTCCACGTCACTTGTGGCCAGCTGGTTGTGGGGCAAGGAGTGGTCGTACACGCAAGAGAAGGAACTTTGCTTACAAAGCTAACATTACTATATATTCGCCCAAAAAATCGGTGCACAACCGATGTGGGACTAACCCATGTCACACCTTCCTCAGAAGAGGCGGGCGACCAACGCGGGTTCAAATCCTCCCAAAGTCAAAATTCATATATTTTTATCTAATTATCGTGACTTTCCTGCAGATCGCCGGTGAAAGATTAAGCAATGAGAATCACTAGATCATCGGCAAAAATCTCGTCAATGCAATTCGTAGAGCATTGCTACTAAAATTGTTGAACAATTCGCGATAAAAGGATCACGAATCCATCGAGTAAATCATCTCCAATTGATCGACGAACAAGCTATCGTCGAGAAGAGGACAATCTGCCAAGAGACGAGTTGCCACCTCTTGAGAGTGTACTAGATGCAATGAAGAGCCTCCTCTTGCTGCGCGGACTTGAGGATGAAGCTCTCTGACATGCACCCCACTTCCATCCAACTCCTCTCCATCGAGTGACAGCCGCCAGAGAGCCGCAAAGTCACCGCTTTTTCACTCTGCCGCATGACAGCCGTTGGAGACGACTTGATGACCCATTTCATTAATCTCTAGACTTTGCAAGAAGATCTAGAGATTGCCCACGTTGTCTTTGTCCAAGGAGAGCCTTCAAGGTCGTGGACATTGCACGATGATCCTCTTGAACGCTTAGGATTTCGATGCATTGCCGACACATCGTCGTCGTGACACTAGAACTTTGTTTTCCTGCTTTCAACTTACTTTACGTTTCATTTAGTGATAGTTTTTGTGATTTTAATTTACCAAAATATACTTTGTTCTATTACAATTCTTCCGGCTTTTATAGATCTTAATTTAATCAATTAAATCATCTATAATCGCTTACATAAGAATCACCAGGCAAAACTCTATTTTTGCTCAATTCGCATTCGCTGGGTGCTGATGTCATCCTGACATCTGCACCCTTATTTCCCTTTTTCGTAAATTTTAAATATATTTCTTTTTCATTTCCTAGTATAAAATTCATAGAAAGTCGTATTCATTGAGAAAATTTCTAAATAATTACCAGATATTATATTACATCCCTGTGATTGACTTGGAAAATTATTGCTATTTTTGGATGTTTTATTAAATTATAATTGATATATTTATTCAAAAATACTTATAAATATCTGAAAAAATATCTTTTCTAGTTTTATAAATTTTATATTTGTGTGATTTAATATACAACGACTGAGTCATGTCAAGTCCTACCTCTCCTTATATGGGGGCTCACAAGTGGGCTAAGGAGAGGTGGGCTCACTTGAGACCCTCAAGCTTATAAGCCACAAAGGCTACAAAAGAGGCTTATTGGGTCTCTCTTTAAGAGAGACCCAATAAGCTCCCCTAAAAGGAGAAAGAGGAGGGCCCTCTTATAGTGCTTAAGTGGGCCTTAAATGAAGACCCAAATAAGCCCCAAAAGAGGCCCAAAAAGAAAGACACATAGGTCCCCCCTCACCCCTTGAGGTTTTAATTGGGCCTCAAAGAAACACCCAATAAAACCCTAAAGAAAGGGAGATAAACAACAACACACACATATAGAATTGGGCCCGCTAACACACAAATGCGAGGCCTAACAAGTCAACGTGAAAATACCAAGAAAGATAAGGGTGAGCTCGAGCTCGTCGTCATCGCAGAGGTGAAATGTCGTCGTCCCGAAGGGCTAGGCTGTGTAGTGAAAGCTAGGCTCCTTCATCTTTGCGTGTCAATCGGGCTGAACTCGGACTGCCGATGTCTCCTAAGCTGATGGAGATAGGTCCCACTTGCCATCAATCCTCCCGGGGTTGAAAGAACTCAACTCCGACGAGTTGGCAAGTTGGGAAGGTAGGGGATCTAGTAGGTCTAGTCATAGTCACTTCAGGTCTATCTCTGAAATTCAAGCATCATCCTTTGATAGGCAACCCTACCAACGTACTAGGAATCTCTGCAAAACTCTATCCACTATAAAGTCAATTACCTCCCGAAGAATCTCCTCAACTCGCTCGTGCCAATCAGGTGGTAAAATGGGGAGAGTGGACTCCATGGAAAACTCTCTCTCAGAGAAGGGGCCGGTAGATGAGGGCTCAAAGTTAGATGAAAGAGGTGGGGCTTGGTGTGATGCCAGATCTGCCATGTTGAACGTGGAGCTAACCGCCCACAAAGGAGGGATGTCAACGACATAGGCGTTCTTGCCTATCTGGGAAAGAACACGAAACGGGCCGGCCCTATGAGCATGAAGTTTCGTAGTGGAGCCAGGAGCATAATGCTTGGGCCTCATCCTCATCATAACCTGGTCTCTCACTTGGAAGATCCGAGGTCAATGATGCATATCGGCAGTCTGCTTGTACAATGTATTCTAACTCTATATCCTATCATGGGTGTCCTAATGCAACTGACTAATATGCTGGGCGAATGCGACACCAACCTCGGAAACTCTAACATGAGGGTCCAGGAGTACTAGATCTAGGGGCTTGCGAGGTGCTAAGCCGTGTGCAATCTCGAAGGGGCTCATGCCAGTGGTACGGTTGGTCAAAGAGTTATAGGCAAACTCGACGTGTGGTATGATCAAATGCCAAGTGGTCAAGTTCTTGCCGACTAATGACCGAAGCAGATTCCCTAAGCTACAATTGATGACCTCAATTAGGCTGTCAATCTATGGATAGTAAGTAATGGAGAAATTGAGTTTAGTCCCAAGTAAGCTCAAAAGAGTCCTCTAGAAGTGGTTGGTAAACCATACGTTATGGTATGAGACTATGGACTTGGGTAGTCTATGAAGGTGCACCATCTCTCTAAAGTAGAGGCTAGTGACCTTGGAGGTGTTAGAGGTTTTCGAACATGTCATGAAGTGTGCCATCTTTGAAAACTTATAGACGACCACCATGATTGAGTCATGTCGTCGTGTAGTGCACGAGAGTCTCAAAATGAAGTCCATGCTGACGTCATCTCATGGGCGGGTTGGCATTGAAAGTGGCGTGTAGAGTCTAGTATTCTTCTTTACCTACTTGGCGAGTGTGCACACTCAACACTGAGTGACAATGTTCCCTACATTGCGCTTGAGGGTCAACTAGTAGAATTGGTACTCAACTGCTGCGATGGTCTTATCGCCACTGAAATGACCAGATATACTTCCTGCGTGACATTCTCAAGTGAGGAAGTCACAGAGGGATGTGCGTGGAATGCACAGTCTGCTCCTAAAAAATAGACATCCGTTGACCACAAGGAAGTCCTTATGATCTCGAGATGAACCATCCGAGAGTGCTCGTACCCTAAGTGGCACTTGGTGCTGTCGACAAATGGATAGTGTGGTGACGTTTATCCACGATACATCATAAGGGGTTGGATGGCTAATAGTACTCAGCCTTGCCCTCTACAAGACCTGGTTTGACACGGCATTGATGCAACTGCCACTGACGATGATCACCTTGCACATGTGTCTGTTGATCTTCACATAGGTGTAGAAGATCGACATGCACAAAGAATTGTCTGTCGTAGAGATCGAGAGGAAGATTTCTCTCAAGGTTCCACCAGCCACCTTGTAAAGAAATTACGGATGGCTGGCAGAGATGATTCCCTACTTCCTTTAATGACGTCAACTATTTGAAATCGATGAGGTAAAAGGGAATAGAACTTCACGAAATTCAGATTGCGTTAACCAGGATAAAAGAGATTCAATTGCATAAAAGTCTAGAAACAAAGTGAAAATGATTTCTCCCTCTTGTTCTAACGAACCTAGGGAGAGGACGGCAGCCTCACATAGGGGTGTCTTCGGTTCCTCCTCTTCTTGTTGTGCCAAGGGAGGAGACCCATGATAATTGCCGACACTATCACCACTAGGAAGGGGGAGAAGGGACGAGCTGGCCCACCTATGTCGTGCTGCAGGTGGCGCCAAGGGAGAGAGGAGGAGCAGACCATCCCCACGGTAAGAGAGGGACTCCCCAAAGGAAGGAAGGGAGGAATGAGATGGCTGATCGTGAATGAGGGTCCCAGCCGGCGGCCGGCCCTCTTTTGAACTCATATGCCCTATTGTAGGCATTCCCCTTATGCCCCTCTCAATCTGCAAACATAATAAGTCAAGTTTTCAGTTTTAACTTTTTATGTTCACTAATTATTCAATCATCCATGATGAAACTAAGAATATATGTATGCTCATGCTCATGCATCATGATTATCTATTAATCCTCTTCCCTCCAACAACTATTCATCATATATTTCTCCTCTCATTTATCTTGATGCTCTCATCCTAGTAGAAAATAGGAAAATTACCATCGTATGAAAATACATAAGTAGAGTATTAAATGTGTACTCATCATATTCCTATATACTTAGGCTTAAAGTAATAACTTTCTCAGCCCTTTAGTATGATGATTGCTCAAATTATCACACGCGGCATCATTAAATGAGGAGATTGGAAGTCGTCAAGAATGTCCACACAATCAATGGCAGATGGAACATACTTACTGAGGGTGCAGTAGATCTCAACTTAAGATAAAACTTATAATACTAAAAAAAATCCCAAAAGTCTCTTAAATTCAGGAAAATTACTTTGATGATATTAAATAATTATAAAATATTTAATTCATAATTCAGTCATCAAATGATATTTTGTTATAATTATTATTCAAGTGAATCATATAAATAAATAAATACAAATGCTATAGAAAATATGGAAAATTCACGAAATTTACCATGATTTTAGAACATTTATCATAAATTATACTTGACTTATTTTATGCATAGATAAATTTAATTTTGCATAAAATTAAGCATTAATTGTCCAAATTATGTTATACTTAAGATGCAGAATTCGTATGTTATCAGCCTTGATGTTTTCTCTGAGCCTTACACATCAGGTAGTTGTAGCTGCAGTCCAATAAATGAGATAACGAACGGATTTATAAGACAAGCAAAAGTAAACCACAGAACAGCCCGAAAGTCCTACCACGGCTTCAATCAATCCAGCAGCCAACCGTTGGCTGTATTTGCTAAACTGTCAAGAAAGCAACTCCTGGTAAGGAAACCCCTTGCTGCCGTTAGAGCGAGTAGTATATGATCAGCCCCCCCTTCCAACACTGAAGCATGCACTGACAAGCAGGGTTGCCTCTTCCTTCCTCCGATCCTCCGCTCTAAGGTGTTTTAGCAGCAGACTCATTATGGCTTCAAAATCTCATGTCACAGCTGCAGTCCTCATCTTCCATTTGCTGTTCTCTTCATTAGTTTCTGGCCAAACCCCTGGCTCAGTGCCCGTGCCTCCACCTCCTCCGCCACGCATCGGGCTTCTCCCATGTGTTATTAACGTGGTATCCCTAGCTATTTGCGCTCCGGTGGTGCTCGTCCTGAAACTCATCGGTATCGGAAATCCCAATGGGCCCTGCTGTACCCTCATCAAAGGCCTGTCAGCGAACCAGGCTGCTTCCTGCCTTTGCCTCGCGGTCAGGGCGAACATCCTGGGTATCAACATTACCATCCCAGGCGATACCGGGCTTCTTCTGAAATTATGTAACGTGACCCTGCCGATTGGTTTGGGCTGCCCCACCTAGTCGGCGAGGATAAAGCTATCTGATCATTTCTTTTTCCCCAAAAATGTTACAGTATTTATCGAGCTCCTCCTGTGATGTATGTTCCAGTCTGCATGTTTCTCGTCAACGAGCGTGCTCTAGTCTCTCGGATCCTTCCGTGCTTTTGCGTGAGAGTTATTTGAAATAAAGGTGTGACTTGCGTATCTTGAAATCTGGCGTTCGCTGTAGTACATATTTTAGTTACGGACGATTTGGTTTATCTAGGAGCATACTCACGAATTCAGCCCTACTTGTCATGTAGAACATCCGTTGTATCAGTCCTGAATCGCTCGCACGCCACCACTCCGTGATCTTCTTCAGCCTAAATATTCGGTGTTATTTCTTCAGAGCTGAATGCTCACACGGATGGGCGAAAAGAGAAAGACTAAAGACAGTGAGGTGTGAGGGATTGGCAGGTCACCACTCGTTTAGCTCGTTTGGAGGATTAACTTGTCGGATGCGCGGGGAACCATAACCTTAGGAAGAAAGAACTTTAACTGTGATAGAGCACGCTCAGGTTCGACAGTCTGCGGAGTCTCCGCCTCATGGAATTCTCGCAGATATGGGTTCATTGGCGAAAGAAGGTTTTGTATCTGTACGGTTCAAGGATTCGTTTCGTTGTGCAGAGTGATATTTCTCCGTTTCAGTCACATCCGTGTCATCATAACAGAACTGTGCGTTCACCTCGTTTGGACCTTTTTTTTTGTCCAAAAGCTCTGAGACGCCTTGATTCCCGCTGCCACTGTCACAGACATGTAAACTGACAAACAAAAGAAAGTCTTCGTGAGAACCCAACAACTCCCTTAATGGACTTTTAAACAATTGCACACTCAAACGGGTCATCACCAAAGATGCATGATCTCTTTCTCGCTTAAGAGCGGGCAAGAAGAAGTGAACTTGCTAGAGCAACAATTTGGAAAAATCCTCTTAGCTAAATTATATGTTTACGTTTATGTTGAAAAATCGTTTAATGGAAAAATCATTTACGTTGAAAAATGTTTTACAACTGACCACTTGGCACAAATAGATCGGAATAGTTTTCTAAATTATATGCCTATTCCGTGATTATGTTTCCATACAATTCTCAAACACTAGTTTCCTTTGGAAAGGCTCTAGCTGGTAGCATTTAAAATCAAACTAGAGTTCTGCTGGGAGCCTGCTCCATCTATTACGGAATGTGAAGAAAATCGGAGTCAACCCTTTACTCTTCGAGAAAATATGGAGAACTAAAGATATACAGTTCGTGCAAAGGTGAACCATGACTATGAGGTGTGTCCCCTATTCATGTCCACCTTTCCCCACTTATGCCTTAATCCTCATGTGGATATTTGGTTCTACGCAAGAATTGATGAATAAATTGCTCACCATGATCTTCAAAGAAAAAAACCATTGATGAACATAAGTTGTGTTAGAATGTTAATCAGGCAGCTCGGAATGGGAATAGGATAGAGGTGGTGGTTGAAGAAAGTTAACAGCTATGATGGAATTTGCAGGATACGTATTAGGCTGTTGTACAGGTGTGATAAAACCATAGTGTTCCCTTGGTAGATGGTATGAGTCTTCTCTTGTACCCCTAATTGGACTTCCAATGTGTTTCTCTGCTCTACATTTTTTTACAACTCTCTCTCTCTCTCTCCATGGTTTCATATTAGACCATCCAGTGCCACATAATCCAAACACGAAGGTGTGACTCCCCCATTCAAGTTATTCATTCAAAACTTGTACAAGTCAGTTGTATTTCACAATTTTGTGATGGTATAATCCTTATCAACCAATAGTATGTGGCAGTAAGAAATCTGTGTTCTATTCATGCACGATCTAGCATTTTCTGATGAGAGCTTCTTACTGAACACAATATAGACATGTTGAAAGTTTGTAAGTTATTGAACAGTTCTCTATGGAATTAAAATTGTGTTACTAAATGTGAACATTCACTCAAGAAATTTAATTAATAGAATCTTAGTGAAAAATACAAAAGCTGAGGCTTTAGGAGTGGAGTTTGTTTAAAGTTGACTAAACCAATATAGAAGCTGGTGTCATTTGTGATATCTTCCTCATTAATATATGCCGATCAATTATTCCTTATCTAACACTAGTTACCTCTTAGTCCCAATTTGAATCTCACTGTCGCCTACCAAATAAAGTTCAAGGCACAAATGTGTATGGCCACATTTTCTGAGGAACACTCAACAACTAGTGGCACAATTTCAACATTCAAAGCTGCATTTATTCATAGTTCAGAATGTGTTCGAATCATCTCCAGCGGCTGTCACTCAGTAGAGCGGAAAAATGGTAACTTTGTAACTCTCCAGCAGCTGTCACTCGGTAGAGCAGAAAAATGGCAACTTTGCAACTCTCCAGCGGCTGTCACTTGATGAAGAGGAGTTGGATGGAAGTGGAGTGCATGTTAGGGAGCTTCATCCTCAGGTCCGCATAGTAAGAAGAGGCTCTTCATCGCATCCCATACACTCTCAAGAGGTGGCGACTCATCTCTTGGCGGATCATCCTCTTTTCGATGACGGTTTGTTCATCGATCAATTAGAGATGCTTTACTCGACAGATTTGTGATCCTTTTATCGTGAATTATTTAGTAATTTTAGTAACAATGCTCTGCAAATCACATTGACAAGATTTTCATCAATGATCCAACGATTCTGATTGCTTAATCCTTCACCGGCAATCTGCAGGAAAGTCACGATAACCAAATAAAAAATATGAATTTTGGCACTAGAAGGATTTGAACTTGCGCCGGTTGCTTGCCCTTTCTAGGGAAGGTGTGACACAAGTTTAGTCTCACATTAGTTGTGCACTGAAGTTTCTAACAAATATATAGTAATATTACATTCCCAATCAAGTCCCTTTCTCGCGCGTGTATGACCACTCTTTGCCCCACAATCGGCTGGCCACTAATGACGTGGAAGGGGAGTGGCACACGTGCCCTTATTGATCCAAGCCACTTAAGCTCTTACTTGCGGCTACTCCTTGACTGCACTTCCGACCTGCTTGTGGGCCTGGTTGGCCAGCAGGTCCCTCCCATTTTGTTTTATTTTTATTTTACTTTCTTTTTTTTATTTATCTCAAAAGTAAGACTGTAAAAATCATATAAATTCATATAAAATTAAATAATTACTCAAAAATTCACGTTAATCAACTGAAAACACTTTTCACACTTTAACACAAATATAAGTCTATTTATCATGAGTTAAAGTTGAAACTATATTATTTACTAATTATTAACTCATGATAATGAAGACTTATCAATACCTAACAGTTCACATTAAGCTCACGCTCACCTTTTGGCCTATTACAAGAAGAGCACGTCCTCTTACTCATGAGCATAGAATTCAGAAGAATGTGAAAAGATGTGTGATAATGAAGAGAAAGTGAAAGACAAAGTATTGGTGGTGGTTGAAGGCCATTGATGAGGGATATGGGTGGTGCATTAGATCTAGAGCTATGTGATGATTAATTGGATAATAGTGGGTTGAAATAGCCTAGTAGAGATGGATAAAGATAGAAGTGGAAATGATTGTCATGATGGATGAATTCATCTTCGCAAGTAAGTAATGACAATGAGATGGAATGAAATTAACATACTATGTACTAGATATGAAATGAGATGTGCATGCATCTCTATATCTATTAAGTAGAGAATAGGAAGAAAATAGAAGAACAAAAAGGTCCCAAATAACATTGCCTCGTTGATTTTTTTTTGATATATATATATATTTTTTTCTTCTTCTTCTTCTTCTTCTTTTTTCCTTCAAAGGGCCTCAAAAAATGCATGGGACATATAATACATTTGGATGAAATAGATGAGAAGAACATGAGAAACCCTAATTATGGGGATGATGCAAACAAATGCATGTCATGGGAAGATATGATGAAGGAATAAAACATGATGAATTGCATAAATTGCCAAGATGGATGAGAGGATAATAGTCGATTGAAGGGGATTAAGGCTCATAGTATGGATGGATGAATAAGTAAAATAAAATAAAAAAAAGAACAACTAGTTCTATGCCCAAAACTTGGTGAACTCCTTACTTAGTACCTCAATGAGATGAAACTTAGTTAGTGACTTAGGGAGCATTTGAAAAATTCCTAGATTTATTTCGAATTTAATAGTGGGTACTAATGGGACTCTAATATTGGATGCTCTTTGAAATGAATAAGGGATATAATGATTTTTCATGGCCATAGAATTGCTCTCAATTTGACCTGTACTTCCTTCAGGATCCATCAAAATTAATTTTTATTTTGGATTTTTAGTTTTGGATGAAATAATGAAAGGATTTTCTAGTCTTGGATGCAAGGATCTTCTACCATGCATAAAAAATTAATAAATTCGAGTAAAAAGTTTAGTAATTGTTACCCTCCTTCAATATGCTCCAGTCCTTGCCTTGCTTCTTTTCGTTCCCTTTTTCTAAAAAAAAAATTTGACAAGAAGAAAGTAAAACAAGAGTTAAATTTTTTTTATGTACTCTAAGAGAAAAATAGAAAAATACTAAATATTATGCAATACATCCCCGACAACGGCACCAAAATTTGATGTGACTTAGTCGTTGTATATTAAATCACGTAAATATAAAATTTATAAAACTAGAAAATACGATTTTTTAGATATTTAGAAGTATTTCTGAACAAATATATCAATTATAATTCAATAAAACTTCCAAAAATAACAATAATTTTCCAAGTCGATCACAGGGATGTAATATAATATCTGATAATTATTTAGAATTTTCCTCAAACAATACTATTTTCTATGAATTTTATACTAAGAAATAAAAAGGAAATATATTTAAAACTCACAGAAAAAAGAAATAAAGGGGCAGACGTCAAGATGATGTTAGTGCCCAGCAAACGCAAATCAGATGGAAATAGAGCTCTCCTCGATGATTCTTACGTAAGCAATTACAGATGATTTAATTGATCAAATTAAGATCTGTAAAAGTCGGAAGAATCGTAATTGAATAAAGTATATTTTCGTAAATTAAATTCACATGAATTATCACAAAATGAAGTGTAAAGTAAGTTCAAAGTAAGAAAATAGAGTTCTGGCGTTGTGGTGGCGATGCGTCGGCGATGCACCAAAATCCTAAGCATTTGAAAAGATAGTCATGTAATGTCCATGACCTTGAAGGCTCTCTTTGGACAAGGACAATGTAGGCAATCTCTAGATCTCCTTGCGAAGTCTAGAGATCAATGAAATGGGCCGTCGAATCATCTCTGGTGGCTGTCACTTAGCGGAGCAGAAAAACGACGACTTTGCGGCTCTCTAGCGGCTATCACCTAATAGAGAGGAGCTGGATGGAGGTGGGGCACGTGTTAGGAAGCTTCATCCTTAGGTTTGCACAACAAGAGGAGGCTCTTCATCGTATTTGGTATGTTCTCAAGAGGTGGCGACTCGTCTCCTGATGGATTGTCCTCTTCCCTACGATGGCTTGTTCGTCGATCAATTGGAGATGCTTTACTCGATGGATTCGCGATCTTTTTATTGTGAATTGTTCAACAATTTTAGTAACAATGCTCTACAAATCATGTTGATGAGATTTTCACCGATGATCTAGTAATTCTAGTTGCTTAAACCTTCACCAGCGATCTGTAGGAAAGTTATGATAATTAAATAAAAAAATATAAATTTTTGCTCTAGGAGGATTCAAACCCATACTAGTTGCCTGCCCCTTCTAAGGAAGGAGACGCAGGTTTAGTCCCACATCAGTTGTGTGCCGAATTTTTGGGCAAATATATACTAATGTTAGATATCTAAGCAAGTCCCTTTCTCAGGTGTGTATGACCACTCCTTACCCCATAATCGGCTAGCCACCAGTGACATAGAAGGGGGGTGGCGGACACGTGCCCCTTCGGTCTAAGCCGCTCGAGCTCCTACTCACGGCTACTCCCCGACTATGCTTCCGACTTGCTTGCAAGCCTAGCTGGCCGGCGGATCCCCCTCATTTTGTTTTATCTTTACTTCTTTTTCTTTATTTATCTCAAAAGTAAGACTGTAAAAATCATAAAAAATCACATAATTACCCAAAAATTCATGTTAATCAATTGAAAACCACTTTTCACACTTTAACACAAATATAAGTCTATTTATCATGAGTTAAGGCTAAAACTATGCTATTTACTAATTATTAACTTATGATAATTAAGACATCAACTACAAAGTCGTCATTTTTTCACTCTGCTGAGTGACAGCCACCGGAGACGATTCATCGACCCATTTCATTGATCTCTAGACTTCGCAAGGAGATATAGAGATTGCCCATGTCGTCTTTGTCCAAGGAGAGCCTTTGAGACTATGGACACTACACGATGATCCTCCTAAATGTTCAGGATTTCAGTGTATCGTCAACACATTGCCGCCGCAATACTGGAACTTTATTTTCCTACTTTCAACTTACTTTTCACTTTATTTAGTGCTAATTTGTGTGATTTAAATTTACCAAGATATACTTCATTCAATTACGATTCTTCTGTGTTTTACAAATCTTAATTTGATCAATTAAATCATCTATAATCACTTACGTAAGAATCACTAGGTAGAACTCTATTTCTGCCCCATTTGCATTCACTAGGTGCTGACATCATCCTAATGTATGCACCCTTATTTCCCTTTTTTGTGAATTTTAAATATATTTTATTTTCATTTCCTAGTATAAAATTCATAGAAAATAGTATTCTTTGAGGAAAATTTTAAATATTTATCAGATATTATATTATATCCCTATGATCGATCTAGAAAATTACCACTATTTTTAGTATTTTTATTGAATTATAATTGATATATTTGTTTAAAAATATTTCTAAATATCTGAAAATTCATATTTTCTAGTTTTATAACTTTTAAATTTATGTGATTTTCTATACAACGACTAAGTCACATTACTAGCCTTTTAAGAAAATAAGGATATCAAAAGCAACAAAGCAAAGTAAAATAAATGAAAGAAAACAAGAAGCTATTTATAACTAAATGGTCCTCGTGCTCAAAATATAATCTAAAGGTGGTCAGGAGGAGGATTATGAAGGTCTTCTAAAGTAAGAGATGGTTGAAGTTCAAACTCTATATATGATTTTAATCGTTGACCATTCACCATGAATTCTTTGCCACAATCAGAGTTTGTAATCCTAATTGCCCCATTTTCATAAGCTTCAAGGATCACAAAAGGGCCATCCCATCTAGACCTTTTTTTTTTTTTGGGGATAACTGATAAGTCTTCATTATCATGAGTTAATAATTAGTAAATAATATAGTTTTAGCCTTAACTCATGATAAATAGACTTATATTTGTGTTAAAGCATGAAAAGTGGTTTTCAGTTGATTAACGTGAATTTTTGGGTAATTATGTGATTTTATACGATTTTTACAGTCTTAGTTTTGAGATAAATGAAGAACAAGAAATAAAAATAAAAATATTGCAAAATGGGAGGATCCGCCGGCCAGCCGGGCCCGCAAGCGGGTCGGAAGTGCAGTCGGGGAGTAGCCACGAGCAGGGGCTCGAGCGGCTTGCTTGGATCGATAGGGGCACGTGTGCACCACTCCCCTTCCACGTCACCGGTGGTCAGCCAGCTGTGGGGCAAGGAGTGGTCGTACACGCGAGAGGACTTTGCCTAGAAAGCTAACTTTACTATATATTCGCCCGAATAATCCGCGCACAACCGATGTGGGACTAAATCCACCTTGTTCAGGGGGCGACCGCCGCAGGTTCGAATCCTCCCAGAGTCAAAATTCATATATTTTTAACTGATTATCGTGACTTTCCTGCAGATCGCCGGTGAAGGATTAAGCAACCGGAATCGCTGGATCATCAGCAAAAATCTCGTCAACGCGATTCGCGGAGCATTGCTACTAAAATTTCTGAACGATTCACGATAAAAGGATCGCAATCCATTGAGTAAATCATCTCTGATTGATCGACGAACAAGCCGTCGTCGGGAAGAGGACGATCCGCCGGGAGACCAGTCGCCACCTCCTGAGAGCGTACCAGATGCGATGAAGAGCCTCCTCTTGCTGCGCGGACCTGAGGATGAAGCTCCCTAACACGCGCCTCACCTCCATCCAGCCCCTCTCCGTCGGGTGACAGCCGCCGGAGAGCCGCAAAGTCGCCGTTTTTCCGCTCCGCCGGGTGACAGCCGCCGGAGACGATTCGACGACCCACTTCATTGGTCTCTAGACTTTGCGAGAAGATCTAGAGATTGCCCACGTCGTCTTTGTCCAAGGAGAGCCTTCGAGGCCGTGGACACTACACGACGACCCTCCCGAACGCTCAGGATTCTGGTGCATCACCGACGCGTCGCCGTCGCGACGCCGGAACTCTGTTTTCCTGCTTTATCTAGAGATTGCCCACGTCGTCTTTGTCCAAGGAGAGCCTTCGAGGCCGTGGACACTGCACGACGACCCTCCCGAACGCTCAGGATTCCGGTGCATCGCCGACGCGTCGCCGTCGCGACGCCGGAACTCTGTTTTCCTGCTTTATCTAGAGATTGCCCACGTCGTCTTTGTCCAAGGAGAGCCTTCGAGGCCGTGGACACTGCACGACGATCCTCCCGAACGCTCAGGATTCCGGTGCATCGCCGACGCATCGCCGTCGCGACGCCGGAACTCTGTTTTCCTGCTTTCAATTTAATTTACGCTTCATTTAGTGATACTTTGTTGATTTTTATTTACCAAACTATACTTCGTTCAACTACGATTCTTCCGACTTTTACAAATCTTAATTTGATTAATTGAGTCGTCTGTAATCGCCTACGTAAGAATCGTCGGGCGGAACTCTGTTTCTGCCTGATTCGCGTTCGCCGGGCGCTGACGTCATCCTGACGTCCGCACCCTTATTTCCTCTTTTTTTTGTGAATTTTAAATATATTTCCTTTTTATTTCCTAGTATAAAATTCGTAAGAAAATCGTACTCATTGAGAAAAATTCTGAATAATTACCAGATATTATATTACATCCTTGTGATCGACCTGGAAAATTACCACTATTTTTGGGATTTGTATTGAATTATAATTGATATATTTATTTTGAAATACTTCTAAATATCTGAAAATTCGTATTTTCTAGTTTTATAAATTTTATATTTGCGTGATTTAATATACAATGACTAAGTCACGTCAATAACTGTCTTGGGCCGAACTTCTTGGGAGGTCACCCATCTTGGTACTTCACACGCCCAAGCACTTTTGGTACCTCTCAGGCACATTCTTTGGAGATAGATGCTACTAGCGCCTCTCGACATCGTGGCAAGGGTTCCTTTCAGCATGTTCTTTGGAGCTGGGGGCGTCTTGGCATGGTGAGATGGACGCCACATATGCCTCTTGGCATAATGGCAAGGGTGCCTCTCGGTGCGTTCTTTGAAGTTGTGGGTGGTGGTGCCTCTTGGCACGTTCTTCGAAGCTAGGGGCGTCTTAGCATGGTGAGAGATGGATGCCACATATGCCTCTCGGCATGGTGGCAGGTGACGTGACTCAGTCGTTGTATATTAAATCACGCAAATATAAAATTTATAAAACTAGACAATATGAATTTTCAGATATTTAGAAGTATTTCTAAATAAATATATCAATTATAATTCAATAAAAATCCTAAAAAAAGTAATAATTTTCCAGGTCAATCATAGGGATGTAATATAATATCTAGTAATTATTCAGAATTTTTCTCAATGAATACGATTTTCTTATGAATTTTATACTAGGAAATAAAAAGGAAATATACTTAAAATTCACGAAAAAAAAGGAAATAAGGGTGCGGATGTCAGGATGATGTCAGCACCAGGCGAACACGAATCAGGCAGAAATAGAGTTCCGCCTGGCGATTCTTACATAAGCGATTACAGACGACTTAATTAATCAAATTAAGATCTGTAAAAGTCAGAAGAATCGTAATTGAACGAAGTATAGTTTGGTAAATTAAAATCACACAAAGTATCTAAATGAAGCGTAAATTAAATTGAAAGTAGGAAAATAGAGTTCTGGCGTCGCGACGGCGATGCGTCGGCGATGCACTACAATCCTGAGCATTCGGGAGGATTGTCGTGCTATGTCCACGGCCTTGAAGGCTCTCCTTGGACAAAGACGACATGGGTAATCTCTAGATCTTCTCACGAAGTCTAGAGATCAATGAAGTGGGTCATCAAATCGTCTCCGGTGGCTGTCATCCGGCGGAGCAGAAAAATGGTGACTTTGCGGCTCTCCAGCAGCTGTCACCTGACGAAGAGGAGCTAGATGGAGGTGGGGCGCGTGTCAGGGAGCTTCATCCTCAGGTCTGCACAGCAAGAGGAGGCTCTTCATCGCATCTGGTACGCTCTCAAGAGGTGGCGACTGGTCTCTCGGCGGATCGTCCTCTTCCCGATGACGGCTTGTTCGTCGATCAATCGGAGATGATTTACTCGATGGATTCGCGATCCTTTTATTGCGAATCGTTCAGCAATTTTAGTAGCAATGCTCCGCGAATCGTGTTGACGAGATTTTTGCCGATGATCCAGTAATTCTCGTTGCTTAATCCTTCACCGGCGATCTGCAGGAAAGTCACGATAATCAAATAAAAATATATAAATTTTGACTCTGGAAGGATTCGAACCGGTGCCGGTTGCTTGCCTGTGAGGAAGGTGTGACGCGAGTTTAGTCCCACATCAGTTGTGTGCCGATTTTTCAAGTGAATATATATTAATGTTAGCTTTGTAAGTAAAGTCTCTTCTCTCGCGTGTACAACCACTCCTTGCCCCACAACCGCCTAGCCACTAGTGACATGGAAGGGGAGTGGCGTACGCATGCCCTGTCGGTCCCCAAGCCAAGCCACTCAAGCCCCTGCTCGCGGCTTACTCCCCGACTGCGCTTCTGACCTGCTTGCGGGCCTGGCTGGCCGGCGGGTGCCCCCATTTTTGCAATATTTTTATTTTTATTTCTTATTCTTCATTTATCTCAAAAGTAAGATTGTAAAAATCCTATAAAATCACATAATTACCCAAAAATTCATGTTAATCAATTGAAAACCAAAAATCATTCTTTAACACAAATATAAGTCTATTTATCATCAGTTAAGGCTAAAACTATATTATTTACTAATTATTAACTTATGATAATGAAGACTTATCAGTAGGGGTGCCTCTTGGCACGTTCTTCGAAGCTCGAGACATCTTGGCATGGTGACATACTAGGCAGCATGTGTTACCCATCTGAGGACTACTCTCACCCAAGCATGCTTAACTCAGGAGTTCTTATGGGATTTGGTGGCAACTCTCCCACTAAGGGGGGTTGTCCCATCTAGACCTTAACTTCTCTAAAAAGAGTTTTAGATTAGAATTATATAACCACACTCTTTTTGATATACTTGTCATGAAAGGCTTTCATCCTTTCTTTGAAGATGACTGAATTCTTGAATGCTTCATTCCTTAGCTCTTGGAACTCATGAAGTTGAAGCATTCTTTTCATTATGGCCTCATCTAATGAGAGATTGAGCTTCTTAATAGCCCAATATACCTTGTGCTCAATTTCAATTGTAAGATGACAAGTTCTCCCATATATAAGTGATGTGACTTAGTCGTTGTATATTAAATCATGCAAATCTAAAATTTATAAAACTAGAAAATATGATTTTTCAGATATTTAGAGGTATTTTTGAACAAATATATCAATTACAATTCAATAAAACTTCCAAAAATAGCAATAATTTTTTAGGTCGATTATAGAGATGTAATATAATATCTCATAATTATTTAAAATTTTTCACAAATAATACTATTTTCTATGAATTTTATACTAGGAAATGAAAAAGAAATATATTTAAAATTCACAAAAAAGGGAAATAAGGGTGCAGATGTCAGGATGACATCAGCGCCCAGTGAATGCGAATCAAGCAGAAACAAAGTTTTGCCTAGTGATTCTTATGTAAGTAATTACAGATGATTTAATTGATCAAATTAAGATCTATAAAAGTTGAAACAATTATAATGTAATGAAATATATCTTAGTAAATTGAAAATCAATAAATTATCACTAAATGAAATGGAAATTAAGTTGAAAGCAAGAAAAAATAGTTCTGGTGTGGCGGTGACAATGCATCAGCGATGCATCAGAATCTTGAGTGTTCGGGAGGATCATCATGTAGTGTCCACAACCTCAAAGGCTCTCTCCTTGGACAAGGATGATATAGGCAATCTCTAGATCTCCTTGTGAAGTCTAGAGATGGGTCATCGAATCATCTCCGGTGGCTGTCACCCGGCAAAGTGGGAAAATCACGACTTTGTGGCTCTCTGGCGGCTGTCACCCGACAGAGAGGAGCTGAATGGAGGTGGGGTGCATATCAAAGAGCTTCATCCTCAAGTCTGTGTAGTAAGAGGAGGCTCTTCATCACATCTGGCACACTTTTAGGAGGTAGCGACTTATCTCCCGATGGATCGTCCTCTTTCCAACAACAGCTTGTTCGTCGATCAATCGAAGATGCTTTACTCAATAGATTCACGGTCCTTTTATCGCGAATCGTTCAGCAATTTTAGTAGCAATGCTCCCGAATTGCGTTGATATGATTTTTGCCGATGATCTAATGATTCGGGTTGCTTTATCCTTCACCAGTGATCTACAAAAAAGTCGTGATAATTAGATAAAAAAATAGGAGTTTTGGCTTTAGGAGGATTCAAACTTGTGTCGGTTGCCTGCCCTTTCTTGGGAAGGTGATGCGGGTTTAGTCCCACATCATTTGTGTGCTAAATTTTTGAGCGAATATATAGTAATGTTACATTTGAAGGCAAGTCCCTTTCTCGTGCATGTACGACCACTCCTTGCCCCACAGTCGACTGCCCACCGGTGATATGGAAGGGGAGTGGCGCACATGTGCCCCTATTGATCATTGCTGCTCGAGCCCTTGCTCACAACTCTTCCCTGATTGCGCTTTCGACATACTTGTAGGCTCAGCTGCCCGGCAGGTCCCCCCATTTTGCTATATTTTTATTTTTATTTCTTTTTCTTCATCTATCTCAAGAGTAAGACTGTAAAAATCATATAAATTCGTATAAAATCACATTAATCAACTAAAAACAACTTTTCACACTTTAACATAAATATAAGTCTATTTATCATCAGTTAAGGCTAAAACTATATTATTTACTAATTATTAACTCATGATAATGAAGACTTGTAAGTAGTTCTATAAGCCCATAGAGCATCAAAAAGCTTGTTTGCCTAGTCCTTCTCATTTGGCCAAATGATTTTCTTGAGAATTTTCTTGATCTCTCTATTGTATATTAATAAGTCTTCATTATCATGAATTAATAATTAGTAAATAATATAGTTTTAGCCATAACTCATGATAAATAGACTTATATTTGTGTTAAAGTATGAAAAGGTTTTTTCAGTTGATTAATGTGAATTTTTGGGTAATTATGTGATTTTATATGATTTTTATAGTCTTACTTTTGAGATAAATGAAGAATAAGAAATGAAAATAAAAATATTGTAAAATGGGGGGACCCACCAGCCAACTGGGCTCGTAAGCAGGTTGGAAGCTCAGTCGAGGAGTAGCTGCAAGCAAGGGCTCAAGTGGCTTGGACCGATAGGGGCACATGTGTGCCACTCCCCTTCCATGTCACTAGTGGCTAACAACTGTGGGGCAAAGAGTGGTTGTACACGTGAGAGAAGGAACTTTGCTTAGAAATGTAACATTACTATATATTCGCTCAAAAAATCAATGCACAACCGATGTGGGACTAAACCCACGTCACAGCTTCGAATCCTCCCAAAGTCAAAAGTCATATATTTTTATTTGATTATCGCGACTTTCCTGTAGATTGCCAGTGAAGGATTAAGCAACGAGAATCGTTGGATCTTTAGCAAAAATCTCGTCAACGCGATTCATAGAGTGATGGCGAGTAGGACCTGTCTCTATCAGCTTACGAGACACTGACAGTCTAAGTTCAGCCCGATCGACGTGTGCAGATGAAGGAGCCTGGCTTTTGCTACACAGCCTAGCCCTTTGGGACAATGACATTCCACCTCTGCGATGACGATGAGCTTGAGCTCACCCGTATCTTTCTTTGTACTTTCACGTTGACTTGTTGGGCCTCGTGTTTGTGTGTTAGCAGGCCCAATTCTATGTGTGTGTGTTGTTGTTTGTTTCCTTTTCTTTAGGGTTTTATTGGGTCTCTCTTTGAGGCCCAATTAAAACCCTAGGGGGGGGGGGGGACCTATGTGTCTTTCTTTTTGGGCCTCTTTTGGGGCTTATTTGGGTCTTCATTTGAGGTCCACTTAAGCACCATAAGAGGGCCCTCCTCTTTCTCCTTTTAGGGGAGCTTATTGGGTCTCTCTTTAAGAGGCCCAATAAGCCCCTTTTGTAGCCTTTGTGGCTTATGGGCTTGAGGGCCTCAAGTGGGCCCACCTCCCCTTAGCCCACTTGTGGGCCCCCATATAAAGAGAGGTAGGACCCCCCCTCAAAGAGTGCCGTATTTTTGAGAGAAATTATCATTTTGTGAGTACTTTCTCCATGATCTAGGATAGGGAGGGAAGGAGGAAGAGGAAGGCCGTTGATACCCCCATTGAGGACTTTGTTCCTCTGTGATGCTACTGCCCGAGAAGTCCTACCGCCGCCTGAGACCACTGCCGCTGCCGGCCATCTCATTGTTGCCCGGGAGCTCGCCGTCGTCATCAGATGAAACGATTGCGGTTACTGCTGCAGCCGCTGCCGTCTTTGTTGGAACCCTGTCACACCGTCGTGACAAAAGGGGCTTGCTTCGCCTTGCTACGAGCCGTCGCCAAGCACTCTGCCGGAGTCTCTCAACTCCTAGTTCGACTGCTGCCTTTTCCTCTGGAAGTCCGCCATAAACTCGCCATAGCTGCCCTCCGCTGCTCCACCCAGTCGCTGGCTGTTCGCCGACGAACGCTGACCTGCTGCCAACGTCGGAAGAGACCCTACAGCCATGCCGACGAGCCAGAACCAGTCCAAGCTCTGCACAGGCCCCCGCCAGAGTTTCCTGATGCTCCACCACCGTCACACTGTTTCTGGTGCCGCTTAGACCAGGAGAGCTCAACCCTCGGTATCATCGGCCAGATCGTCTCCTCTCTGCTCCGCTTCCTGGCACCGCTAGAGAGGCCAATCCTTCTGGCGACAGTTGGGTTTCCGCCCCAACCACCGACGCTCGGCCTACCCGCTGAAGCGCCACTGATGCTCGGCATTCCCACCGAAGTGCCACAGATGCTCGGCCTTCCTGCCAAAGTGCTGCCACCGCATGCTGTCTCCTATGTGCCCTAAGGCCTCTGTGCGGCTTGTCTCCCGCACCCGCTAGCGTGCCCTTCGGCCCACCAGCAGGTCCACGCCCGTGCCGACCATGCCACGCCCTAAGACGACAACTTCCATGACTCTCGACCAGGACCGACCGTCGACGCTGAGCATCGCTCTTCACCGAACGTCCCTACCTTCGTCAGATCTCCGCTCCATCACAACCTGCCAAGCTATGCAGCCCTGAAGGTTAACTCCGTACCCTTTCTTACTTAAGTTTAATTATCTTTCGAAGGGTTTTCTCAGCTCGTCTCTACTGCCATCAGGAGCACGTAGATAGGATAGGACAAGTTATCGGATCGTGACTTCTGACGTTGTGCTAGACTCATCACAGTTCGTGAGCTGCAGCCCTAGGCTACTTCACGACAATAGTCCTACTGTCTGTTCGGATGTGGACCAAGAGGGCCTCTCATTTATCATCGTCAAGTATTTCCCTAGGTTGTCCTAGGTTGATCACACATATTGGTACACCTGCTTAGGCTTAAGTTACGTGCCTAGACTTGGAGTCTATGATCTAAATATTCTTATCAGATTGGTCCGATTGCCCAGCTCGAGTCTCGAGTTTCATTGATCAGGTATAGGGGGTTCTCACCCCGTCCTACATAAAATTGGTATTAGAGCCAGGTTAGGTTACCACCTAAACTTGGTCCCCTGAGGACGCTCATCGAGCTTCCATACCCCTAGTTGACCATTCATATAGGAGTGTATTGGCATCTAGGCACCCAGAGGACCCAGCCATAGTAGAGACACGCTTGGCCAGAGCTCGAGGAGGTTCACCGTCGTCATGGCACTCACGCGAGTCCTTAGAACCCACTACTCCCCAAGTAGCTAGACTGGACACAAGTCCACCATCTCCGTCGAGACCAACGGATTCAGTACCAGACCCCTCCTGACCATGGGAGACTCCAAGCCATAGGTTGGTCGGAGAGGCATCAGGGTGGCCCTAGCTGCCCGCAGCTACGAGCCGTCAAGCTAGGAAGGAATCCATGCCCTACTATCCATCAAAGAGTATTAGGGGTCATGACAGAGGTGGCCGATGGCAACCTTTGCCTTGGTACCCTTTGAGGGATGGAGTGCACCCCCTCCTAGATGATATCATGAGTAGCATGACCCAAGCTATTGAACGTCTAGAGCAAGCTACCTTTGTAGCCGTAGCTCATGGTCCACCGCCGCTAGCTCCACTGTCGATCGCATATCCAGTCGCACCATTGACCGCACCGCCTATTACATAGGCATATTAAGAGCATCGCGAGCCCCGCCGGCCTGTGAGCCCCTATAGTGATCCATATTATCACCAGTACCTCGATCATGATCATCGTCGAGGGAATCTTCGTCGTCACGACACACCTCATCACAAGGATGGCCACGATCGAGTGGACAGTCGTTAGCCACAAGATACTTATGATCACCGTGAGCTGGTCTACCCTGCTCATAGGGATGATCTCTCACGTCCACCACCACCACCACCTCGACCCCACTATGAGGACTATCGACCCCTCGAACGTGACCAGGGAAACGATAGGAGAGACCTTTCGGGTTATAGAGCTAACCCTTCCCGACGAGAGGAGCTTGATCGGCAAGAAGAGCGTCAGCCACGAGATCGCGATGATTACTATTGTGACTACCAACATGCTCTGGACTTTCACCGAGCACCCTAAGATGCCCACCAAGATCGTTACTAGGATCAAAGGCATTACCTAAGTCCTCCTTATTGTGACTTTGGTGGTGACCATAGGGCTGCTCGATTGGATGATCGAGATAGGCGACGTGAGGATCACAGGGTCCACATACTGAAAAGTGTGTGCACTGATGTGGTAGTCTTTGATGGCTCTCATGAGCCCAAGAACTTCATAGATTGGGAGTCTAGTATGAACTCCTATTCCTGGTGGTACCGCATAGTAGACCATATGGAGCAACCTGTTGAGGACACACAGTTCACCCCACCTCCGACTACCACGAAGATTGTGTCCACATGATCTGTACAGACACTGACAATAGCATCGATGCGTACTAGCATAGGAAATAGACGGACTACACCGGCGACATCAATAGGGTCTGCACCACCCCTATGTCTACCACTAGCTGATGCATCTGATTGTGCCACGGCCGCGTCCTAAGCCCATATCACTTGTTTCAAGTGTAAGGGTAAATAGTAGTATGAGCCAATGCCCATCTTCAAATCTCCTCATAGAGATCGAAGAATTGGGTAGTAGTTCACATGAGGATGATGTCCTTGTAGGTGATGTTGTCTACATTACTAATGAGGGTTTGGTTGAGGAGTGTGATGACACTCCTAATTTGACTGGCAACATGCAGATCCAGCCAGCCACTGTACTAGCAGCTGAGGCTGCCTCTCTCGCTGCCTCATTGACAAGCACTTCATCGAGGGGACGGGTCAGCATCACTGTCCAGCATCCATCTTGAGATGCGATTCCTACACCACGCCCAAACATCACGGCAGCTAGAGAGATTACCCCAGCACCAAGGACAACTATGCCCACATCTTCACCTACGACAGATGATCTCCTTTGCACGTCGATCTTCTACACTTATGTGAAGATCAAAGAATACGCGTGCAAGGTGATCATCGATAGCAACAGTTGCATCAGTACTATGTTAGACCAGGTCTTGCAGAGGGCAAGGCTGAGTACTATCCGCCATCCAGCCCCTTACAATGTATTGTGGATAGACGCCACTGCACTACCCATTTGTCAACAGTGCCAAGTGCCACTCAGGATACAAGCACTCTCAGATGGTCCATCCCGTGATCATAAGGATTTCTTTGTGGTCAATAGATGTCTGTTCTTTAGGAGAAACTTGTGCATTCCACGCACATCCTTCCGTGACTTCTTCACTTGGGAATGTCACGTAGGAAGTCTATTTGGCCATTTCGGTTGCGATAAGACCATCACAGCGGTTGAGTACCAGTTCTATTGGCCAACCCTCAAGCATGATGTAGGGAACATTCTCGCTCAATGTCGAGTGTGCGCACTCGCCAAGTAGGTAAAGAAGAATGTTGGGCTCTACATGCCACTTCTAGTGTTGACCCACCCATAGGACGACATCAACATGGACTTCATTTTGGGACCCTCACGCATTGCACGACGACATGACTCGATCATGGTGGTCGTTGATAGGTTTTCAAAGATGGCACACTTCGTGCCATGTTCAAAAACCTTCGACACCTCCAAGGTTACTAGCCTCTACTTTAGAGAGATTGTGTGCCTTCATGGACTACCCAGGTCCATAGTCTCAGACTGTGATGTACGATTTACCAGCCACTTCTAGAGGACTCTTTCGAGCTTACTTGGGACTAAGCTCAAGTTCTCCACTGCTTACCACCCACAAACTGACGGCCAAACTGAGGTCGTCAATCATAGCTTAGAGAATTTACTTCGATCATTAGTTGGCGAGAGCTTGACCACTTGGGATCTGATCATACCATGTGCCGAGTTTGCTTGTAACTCCTCGACCAACTATACCACTAGCATGAGCCCCTTTGAGATCACACATGGCTTAACACCCCGCAAGCCCCTAGATCTAGTACCCCTGGACCCTCACACTCATAGCACCGGCCCATTTCGTGTTCTTTCCCGGATAGGCGAGAACGCCTATGTCGTCAACATTCCTCCTTCGTGGGAGATTAGCTCCACGTTCAACATGGTGGATTTGGTGTCGCAGCAAGCCCCACTTATAAGTTTTCATTATCATGAGTTAATAATTAGTAAATAATATAGTTTTAGCCTTTACTCATGATAAATAGACTTATATTTGTGTTAAAAAATGATTTGTAGTTTTCAGTTGATTAACGTGAATTTTTGGGTAATTATGTGATTTTATACGATTTTTACAGTCTTACTTTTGAGATAATGAAGAACAAGAAATAAAAATAAAAATATTACAAAAATGAGGGGATCCGTTGGCCAGCCGGGCCCACAAGTGAGTCGGAAGTGCAGTCGAGGAGTAGCCGCAATTAGGGGCTCGAGCGGCTTGGCTTGGGGACCGATAGGGCACGTGTACGCCACTTCCCTTTTGATAAGTCTTCATTATCATGAGTTAATAATTAGTAAATAATATATTTTTAGCCTTAACTCATGATAAATAGACTTATATTTGTCTTAAAGAATGATTTTTGGTTTTCAATTGATTAACGTGAATTTTTGGGTAATTATGTGATTTTATACAATTTTTATAGTCTTACCTTTGAGATAAATGAAGAACAAGAAATAAAAATAAAAAATATTGCAAAATGAGGGGGACCCGCCAGCTAGTTGGGCCTGCGAGCGCGTCAGAAGTGCAGTCGGGGAGTAGCTGCGAGCAAGGGCTCGAGCGGCTTAGCTTGGACCGATAGGGGCATGTGTGCGCCACTCCCCTTCCATGTCACTGGTGGCCAGCCGGCTATGGGGCAAGGAGTGGTCGTACACACGAGAGAAAGGACTTGGCTTGCAAAGTTAACATTACTATATATTCGCCCAAAAAATCGGCGCACAACTAATGTGGGACTAAATCCGCATCACACCTTCCTTACAGGCAGGCGACCGGCATGGGTTCGAATCCTTCCAAAGTCAAAATTCATATATTTTTATTTGATTATCGCAACTTTCCTACAGATCGTCGGTGAAGGATTAAGCAACAAGAATCGCTGGATCATCGGCGAAAATCTCGTCAACGCGATTCGCGAAGCATTGCTATTAAAATTGCTGAACGATTCACGATAAAAGGATTGTGAATCCATCGAGTAAATCATCTCCGATTGATCGACGAACAAGCTGTCGTCGGGAAGAGGACAATTCGCCGAGAGACCAGTCACCACCTCCTGAGAGCATACCAGATGTGATGAAGAGCCTCCTCTTGTTGCGCGGACCTGAGGATGAAGCTCCCTGACACACACCCCACCTCCATCCAGCTCCTCTCTGTCAGGTGACAGCTGCCAGAGAGTTGTAAAGTCGCCGTTTTTCCGCTCTACCAGGTGACAGCCGCCGGAGACGACTCGATGACCCACTTCATTGATCTCTAGACTTCGCGAGAAGATCTAGAGATTGCCCACGTCGTCTTTGTGCAAGGAGAGCCCTCGAGGCCGTGGACACTACACGACAATCCTCCCGAATGCTTAGGATTCCGGTGCATCACCGACGCATCGCCGTTGCAATGCCGGAACTCTTTTTTCCAGCTTTCAATTTAATTTACACTTCATTTAGTGATACTTTGTGTGATTTTAATTTACCAAACTATACTTCGTTCAATTACAATTCTTCTGACTTTTACAGATCTTAATTTGATTAATTAAGTTGTCTGTAATCGCTTACGTAAGAATTGCCAAGCGGAACTCTGTTTCCGCCTGATTCGCATTTGCCGAGCGCTGACGTCATCTTGACGTCCGCACCCTTATTTCCTTTTTTTCGTGAATTTTAAATATATTTCCTTTTTATTTCCTAGTGTAAAATTCGTAAGAAAATTGTATTCATTGAGAAAAATTTTGAATAATTACCATATATTATATTACATCCTTGTGATCAACTTGGAAAATTACCGCTATTTTTGAAATTTTAATTGAATTATAATTGATATATTTATTTAGAAATACTTCTAAATATCCAAAAATTCATATTTTCTAGTTTTATAAATTTTATATTTGCGTGATTTAATATACAACGACTGAGTCACGTCAAATTTTGGCACCGTTGCTGGGGATGTATTACATAATATTTAGTATTTTTCTATTTTTCTCTTAATATACACAAAAAAAAACTTAACTCTTGTTTTATTTTCTTTTTGCCGATTTTTATTACAAAAAGGGAACAAAAAGAAGCATAGCAAAGACTAGAGCATCCTGAAGGAGGGTAATAGTTACTAACTTTTTCCCTCAAATTTATTGATTTTTATGCATGGTAGAAGATCCTTGCATCCAAGGCTAGAAAATCCTTTCATTATTTCATTCAAAAATAAAAATCCAAAAGAAAAATTAATTTTGATGGATCTTGAAGGAAGTACAGGTCAAATTGAGAACAATCCTATGGCCATGAAAAATCATTATATCCCTGATTCATTTCAAAGAGCATGTAATATTAGAGTCCCATTAGCACCCACTATTAAATTTGAAATAAATCTAGAAATTTTTCAAATACTCCCTAATTATCATGGATTGCCTTTAGAGGAACCTCATCAGCACTTAGAAAAATTTCATATGGTCTGTGATTTAGTTAATCTCCCTCAAGTTACACCGAAAATTATTAAGATGAAATTATTCCCTCATACACTTAGGGACAAAAACTAGTCATTGGCTATCCACATTAGATAGAGAATTAATTAGCTGGAAAGATATAGAATAGGCCTTTCTTCGAAAATTTTATCCCTTAGGAAAAACTCAAAATATGAGAAAACATATGTGGAGTTTTTCTCAAAGACCAGGAAAAACTTTGCATGAGACATGGGAAAAATTCAAAGATTTACTTAGAAAGTGTCCTCATCATGCTATACCCAAGTGGCAGCTCAATAGAATTTTTTATGATGAATTATTAGAACAAAATAGAAATATGGTTGATTCTATATGTGGAGGAGCTTTTATGGAGAAAACTCTTGATGAGATTTACAGTCTTTATGAGAATTTAAGTGAAAATTCTAGAGATCAAGCCTCTTTTGAATTATATGATAGGGATAAGAAGAGAGTAATTTATGAGTTGCATCATGATGATGATTCTAAACTTAGAAATGAGGTTAATCAAATTAATCAAAGATTAGAAAAAATGATTTACTTATTGACAATATTAGAAAGCCTTTTAACCCTCAACTTAATTCGAATAGTACATGTCCTATGTATGGTGAAAATGATTATTCTGAATTTCAATGTTATAATTTAGATCAATCATTTCACCATATGCAAGAACAAGTGCAAGTAGCTCACGGTTTTAATAGAAATAGGGAACATTTTTCAAATTCTTATAATCCTAATTGGAGGAATAATTTTTCAAAGAGAGACCCAAATAATATTCAAAATCCATAAGCACTTAGACCCAATTCAAACTCTGAATTTCGTCCAAAACAAGAAAATAGATTTCAGAAAAATCAGCCCTCTCAAACCCAACCTGATGCTATGGAAATGATGTAGCAAATGAGCCAAATGATGCAACAAACTATGAATCAAATGATGCAACAAATGATGCAGCACCAGAAACAAATTATAGAGGCCCTTGGGAATAAGAGAGAAGAGGGACAACTACCTAGTCAGCCCATAGAAAATTCAAAAAACTATCAAACAGTAAGATTTCAGCAAGAAGAGTCTAGCTGGATAAATTTAGAAAAAAACCCACGAAATGAAAATGTTAGGACAGTGAATATATTGAGTGAGAATATTTTACCTGATCCTTATTTCCAATTATTAGAAGAAATTGATGATCCATTAGAAGTAAATGAGAATATTAAGGCCAAAAATATAGTAGCAGAAAATTTGAATAAAATCATTTATTGCTCACAATTGATGAATGAATATAGTGAGGATGATGAGGAGAAAGAACCCTTAGATGAAGAAACAGCAACTGATCATAGAAAAATCATCCAAATTTTAGTAGAACGGAGTAAGGACAGAAATGAAGAAAAATATATTTCAGGTGAGGAAAAATCAATTGATTTGGGAGATGTAGGAGACGAAATTAATAAATCTAATCATAATTTTGCAGCCATGGATGTTGATTGTGAGGATGATGATGTATTTCATATCCCAAAATTAAAAGATAGCTCTTGGGAAGATGAAGAACTTGATGAGTTGAGAAACGAAAAGCTAGAAAAAGAATTGATTCAACTAATGGGAACAAACAAAAATAATATATATGAATATAGAGATAATTTTGGAGGAGAAAATTTGAATTTTACTGAATTCATTAGATCTGAGATTAAAGAAGGCAATCCTTCCATCCTTCAAAACCCACAACCCATTAGAATTATTTCTAAGCTTGAAATATTTCACTCCTCGCAAATTGAACAAATATGTATGGAAGATAAAAAGGAGCAGGGGAAGATAAAAAGGAGCAGGGGAAGATAAAAGAAGACATTAAGAAATGGGTGAGTGGAAGAATTAGAGATACCAAGTTAGATGAAAAAAATTTAGATGGGGCAAGAGCTAATTTGAAAATTATATGGCCTGATCACATTTTATGGTTTATTAATAGAAAGTATTTATTAATGAATGAGAGCCTAACAAAACAAGATAGAAATAAGGAAAGATTCTTTTCAAAATGGAAATATTATTTTTGGGAAATTTTTGTTAATTTCCATTTTGTTTTGGCTGAAAGTATGTCAAGGTATATATATGAAGTATATGAATTTATGCTAAATCTGAAAAAGAATATCATGAAGCTTACCTTGGGATACAAATATATTTTGATGGCCATAGATCATCTTATATGATATAAGAGTTGTCCAGCTAGAGACATTAAATTCAACGCTGCATGGGAGGCAACCCATAGTTTTTATTTCATTCTGTTTGATTTTTTTTAAGCTTTGTTTTTCTTAGAATTTTGCAGTACTTGTTTCTATATTTGTTTTTTTTCGAAAAAGTGCAGGAGGAGGAGTGTAGGATGAAGTGGAAAATTAAAAATAAGGTTGAGGTGATGTCTTTCTGAGCTTCATCATTTATGAAAATATTTTTAACGCTTAACTTTACAGATATGCATGCTTCACTTGAAAATTATATTTTCTGCATATTCTATTTCGAGTTTTTTGTGTCATTGAGGACAATGTCATTTTTAAGTTGGGGGGTGAAGTATTCATTATTAATTTATGCTGTAGGACGATTAAGAACATGTGTTTGCATTTTATTCAACTTAGAACGGCAACTAAAAAATAAAAATAAAATAAAATTCAGAAAAATTGCAACATCTATTTTCTGATTTTCTGTCAGAAACAACAGACTGTCAAAAACAGCAGACAAAAAACAGCCCCAAATTTGAAATTCTAGAAGACCTTTTTCTCACATTTCAATCCCCTAGATATATATTACTAAAATTCGAAATTACAACTATAAAGAAGATAGTTTTGATTTATTTTTGACAAATTTATTGCTGCTAAAAATAGAACTTAAAATAGAAAATGGAATTGTCAAAACTATCTAATTTACAAATTCCTTACATCATATTACATGCATGAAAAATTAAATCAATTAGATTGATTGATATCAAAAGATACTAGGAAGATTATTATTGAGTCAAAAGAATGATCTAGTAGCATAAAATGTTGGAATACTCCTTGGATACATGATAGATAACATGGATTTGATTTTACAGATTTTCACTTCATGATTTTGATGGATAGTATTTACTTGATGTGAAAATTTGATTGATCATTTGAGTTTAATGGAGATTTTTGCACCCTGATCTATAGGACTTGTGAGGAGAAATCACTTATTGCAAAAAAAAAAAAAAAAAAGAGAGCAATGTGAAAAATCTAGAAACGAAGAGTACACATGGAGGGTGTGAGACATCATTCTCATTGTCGAAAATCGTGCATAGAAAAACACTTGCTGAAAAATAAGTGGATAAAGTGAAAGCCCTAAAAATGAAGAGTACACATAGAGGGTGTGAGACATCATTCTTATTGTCGAAATTTGTCTACAGGAAAAGCTACTTATCCACTATTTATTAAAAAAAAAAAAAGGATGAAATATAGTGTAAACTTAAAAAATCAAGTCATAGAAAAGGGAAATGTAAGATCAATATTATTCTTGGATGAGTATTGATAATTGGAACATCTTGTAAATACATCTATAAGTGAAGAAGTGATAAAGAAGTGAAGTCTAGATTGTTATTCCAAGGAGTGTTTAAACATTTAAGTGCTTGACATCATTCTTATATACTTGATATAAGAATCCAAAGTGTTTAAAGGTACATCATTTCTAATTATATATTTTTTTTCTGTATTGAAATATGATGTTTGAGATTTGTAAAATTTTATTTTCGTAATTCTATTGCTAAGGGACTAGTAATGATTTAAGTTGGGGGGTGTGATAAGTCTTCATTATCATGAGTTAATAATTAGTAAATAATATAGTTTTAGTCTTAACTCATGATAAATAGACTTATATTTGTGTTAAAGAATGATGTTTGGTCTTCAATTAATTAACGTGAATTTTTGGGTAATTATGTGATTTTATATGATTTTTATAGTCCTACTTTTGAGATAAATGAAGAACAAGAAATAAAAATAAAAAATATTGCAAAATAGGGGGGACCTGCCACCCAGCTGGGACCGCGAGCGGGTCGGAAGCACAGTCAGGGAGTAGCCGCGAGCAGGGGCTCGAGCGGCTTAGCTAGGACCGACAGAGGCACTCCCTTTCCATGTCACTGGTGGCCAGCCGGCTGTGGGGCAAGGAGCGGTCGTACACGCGAGAGAAGGGACTTTGCTTGCAAAGTTAACATTACTATATATTTGCCTGAAAAATTGACGCACAACTGATGTGGGACTAAACCCGCATCACACCTTCCTCACAGGCCGGCAATTGATGTGGGTTTGAATCCTTCCAAAGTCAAAATTCATATATTTTTATTTGATTATCGTGACTTTCCTGCAGATCATCGATGAAGGATTAAGCAACGAGAATCACTAGATCATTGGCGAAAATCTCGTCAACTCGATTCGCGGAGCATTGCTACTAAAATTGCCGAATGATTCGCGATAAAAGGATTGCAAATCCATCGAGTAAATCATCTCTGATTGATCAACGAATAAGCCATCGTCGGGAAGAGGACGATCCGCCGAGAGACCAGTCGCCACCTCCTGAGAGCGTACTAGATGCGATGAAGAGCCTCCTCTTGCTGCGCGGACCTGAGGATGAAACTCCCTGACACGCGCCCCACCTCCATCCAGCTCCTCTTCGTCGGGTGACAGCTGCCGGAGAGCCATAAAGTTGCTGTTTTTCTGCTCCGCCAGGTGACAGCTGCCAGAGACGATTCGACGACCCACTTCATTGATCTCTAGACTTCGCGAGAAGATCTAGAGATTGCCCACGTCGTCTTTGTCCAAGGAGAGCCTTCGAGGCCGTGGACACTACACGACGATCCTCCCAAACGCTCAGGATTCCAGTGCATTGCCGACGCATCGCCGTCGCGACGCCGGAACTCTGTTTTCCTGCTTTCAATTTAATTTACGCTTCATTTAGTGATACTTTGCGTGATTTTAATTTACCAAACTATACTTCGTTCAATTACGATTCTTCCGGTTTTTACAGATCTTAATTTGATTAATTAAGTCGTCTGTAATCGCTTATGTAAGAATTGTTGGGCGAAACTCTGTTTTCGCCTGATTCGCATTCACCGGGTGCTGACATCATCCTAACGTCCGCACCCTTATTTTCTTTTTTTCGTGAATTTTAAATATATTTCCTTTTTATTTCCTAGTGTAAAATTTGTAAGAAAATCATATTCATTGAGAAAAATTCTGAATAATTACCAGATATTATATTACATCCCTGTGATCGACTTGGAAAATTACCGCTATGTTTGGAATTTTTATTGAATTATAATTAATATATTTATTTAGAAATACTTCTAAATATCTGAAAATTTCTATTTTCTAGTTTTATAAATTTTATATTTGTGTGATTTAATATACAACGAGTGAGTCACGTTACCTTCCACATCACCGATGGCTAGCCGGCTATGAGGCAAGGAGTGGTCATACATGTGAGAGAAGAGAATTTGTTTAGAAAATTAACATTACTATATATTTGCCCGAAAAATCGGCACACAACTGATGTGGGACTAAACCCGCGTCACACCTTCCTCAGAAGAGGCGGGCGACCGGCGCGGGTTTGAATCCTCTCAGAGTCAAAATTCATATATTTTTATCTAATTATCACAACTTTCCTGCATATTGCTAGTGAAGGATTTAAGCAACGAGAATCGCTGGATCATCGGCAAAAATCTCGTCAACGCGATTCGCGGAGCATTGCTACTAAAATTGCTAAACGATTCACGATAAAAGGATCGCAAATCCATCGAGTAAATCATCTCTGATTGATCGACGAACAAGCCGTCGTCGGGAAGAGGACGGTCCGCCAGGAGACCAGTCGCCACCACCTCAGAGAGTACCAGATGTGATGAAGAGCCTCCTCTTGTTGCGCGGACCTGAGGATGAAGCTCCTTGACATGCACCCCACCTCCATCCAGCTCCTCTTCGTCGGGTGACAGCCGCTAAAGAGCCGCAAAGTCGCCGTTTTTCTGCTCCACCGGGTGACACCTGCCGGAGACGATTTGACAACCCACTTCATTGATCTCTAGACTTTGCGAGAAGATCTAGAGATTACCCACGTCGTCTTTGTCCAAGGAGAGCCTTCGAGGCCGTGCACACTACACGACGATCCTCTCGAACGCTTAGGATTCTGATGCATCGCCGGTGCATCGCCGGTGCATCGCTGTCGCGACGCCGGAACTCTGTTTTCCTGCTTTCAATTTAATTTACGCTTTATTTAGTGATATCTTGTGTGATTTTAATTTACCAAACTATACTTCATTCAATTACGATTCTTCTGGCTTTTACAGATCTTAATTTGATTAATTAAGTCGTTTGTAATCGCTTATGTAAGAATCACCGAGCGGAACTCTGTTTCCACCTGATTCGCGTTCGCCGGGCGCTGACGTCATCCTAACGTCCGCACCCTTATTTCCTTTTTTTCATGAATTTTAAATATATTTCCTTTTTATTTCCTAGTATAAATTTCATAAGAAAACCATATTCATTGAGAAAAATTTTGAATAATTACCAGATATTATATTACATCCTTGTGATCGACTTGGAAAATTACCGCTATTTTTGGAATTTTTATTGAATTATAATTGATATATTTATTTAGAAATACTTCTAAATATCTAAAAAATTGTATTTTTTAGTTTTATAAATTTTATATTTGCGTGATTTAATATAGAACGACTAAGTCACGTCACCCACCTCTTTCAGCTGATGTCGAGCCCTCATCTACCGGCCCCTTCTTTGAGAGAGTTTGCCATGGAGTCCACTCCCCCCATTTTACCACCTGGTTGGCATGAGCGAGTTGAGGAGATTCTTCGGGAGGTAATTGATTTTATAGGGGACGGAGTTTCGCAGAGATTCCTAGTATGTTGGCAGGGTTGCCCATCAGAGGACGATGCTTGGATTTCAGAGGCAAACCTAGAGCGACTACGACCAGACCTACTGGAGCCCCTACCTTACCCACTTGCCAACTCATCAAAGTCGAGTTCTTTCGACCTCGGGAGGATTGATGGCAAGTGAGACCCATCTCCATCAGCTTAGGAGACACCGACAGTCTGAGTTCAGCCCGATCGATGTGCGTAGACGAAGGAGCCTGGCTTTCGTTACACAGCCTAGCCCTTTGGGACAACAACATTCCACCTCCATGACGATGACGACGAGCTCGAGCTCACCCGTATCTTTCTTTGTACTTTCACGTTGACTTGTTGGGCCTCGCATTTGTGTGTTAGCAGGCCCAATTCTATGTGTGTGTGTTGTTGTTTGTCTCCTTTTCTTTAGGGTTTTATTGGGTCTCTCTTTGAGACCCAATTAAAACCCTAGGGGGGGGGGACCATGTGTCTTTCTTTTTGGGCCTCTTTTGGGGCTTATTTGGGTCTTCATTTGAGGCCCACTTAAGCACCATAAGAGGGCCCTCCTCTTTCTCCTTATAAGGGAGCTTATTGGGTCTCTCTTTAAGAGCCTTTGTGGCTTATGGGCTTGAGGGCCTCAAGTGGGCCCACCTCCCCTTAGCCCACTTGTGGGCCCCCATATAAAGAGAGGTAGGACCCCCCCTCAAAGAGTGCCGTATTTTTGAGAGAAATTATCATTTTGTGAGTACTTTCTCCGTGATCTAGGATAGGGAGGGAAGGAGGAAGAGGAAGGCTGTCGATACCCCCATTGAGGACTTCGTTCCTCTGTGACACTATTGCCCGAGAAGTCCCGCCGCTGCCTGAGACCACTGCCGCCACCAGCCATCTCATTGTTGCCAGGAGCTCGCCGCGATCATCAGATGAAACGATCGCGGTTGCCGCTGCAGTCGCCATCGCCTCTGCTGGAACCCTGTCATGCCGTCGTGACAAAAGGGGCTCGCTTCGCCTCGCTACAAGCCATCACCGAGCACTCCGCCGGAGTCTCTCAACTCCTGGTTTGACTGCCACCTTTTCCTCCGGAACTCAACCATAAACTTGCTGGAGCCACCCTCCGCCGCTCCACCCAGTCGCTGGCTGTTCACCGACAAACGCTGACCTGCCGCCGATGTCAGAAGAGACCCTGCAGCCGTGCCGACGAGCCAGAACCAGTCCAAGCTCTGCACAGGCCCCCACCAGAGTTTCCCGATGCTCCGCCGCTGTCACGCCATTTCCGGTGCCACTTAGACCAGGAGAGCTCAACCCTCCCTAGTATCGTCGGCCGGATCATCTCTTCTCTACTCTACTTCCCGGTGTTGTCAGAGAGGCCGATCCTTCTGGCGATGGTTGGGTTTCCACCCCAACTGCCGACGCTCGGTCTACCCGCTGAAGTGCTGCTGACACTTAGCATTCCCACTGAAGCGCCGCAGACGCTCGGCACTCTCGCCGAAGCGCCATAGATGCTCGGCCTTCTCACCGAAGTGCTGCCGCCGCGCACGCCCCACACGCCGGCTCCTGTGTACCCTAAGGCCTCCGCACGGCTTGTCTCCCGCACCCGCTAGCGTGCCCTTCGGCCCACCAGCAAGCCCACACCCACACCGACTATGCCACGCCCTAAGACGACAACTTTTGTGACTCTTGACCAAGACTGACCGTCGATGCTGAGCATTGCTCTTCACCGGATGTCCCTGCCTTCGTCAGATCTCCGCTCCGTCATGACCTGCCAAGCTATGCAACCCTGAAGGTTAGCTTTGTACCCTTTCTTACTTAAGTTTAATTATCTTTCGAAGGATTTTCTCGACTCATCTCTACTGCCATTAGGAGCACGTAGATAGGATAGGACAGGTTATCAGATCGTGACTTCCGAAACTGCACCAGACTCATCACAATTCGTGAGCTGCAGCCCTAGGCTACTTCATGACGATAGTTCTACCATCTGTTCGGATGTGGACCAAGAGGGCCTCTCATTTATCATCGTCAATTGTTTCCCCAAGTTGTCCTAGGTTGATCACGCATATTGGTATGCCTGGCTATGCTTAGGTTACGTGCCCAGACCTAGAGTCTAGGGTCCCAACATTCTAATCAGATCAGTTCGACTGCCCATCTCGGGTTTGGAGTTTCATTATTCAGGTACAGGGGGTTCTTGCCCTGCCCTACATCACGGAGTATTGCTACTAAAATTGTTGAACGATTCGCGATAAAAGGATTGTGAATCTATCGAGTAAATCATCTCTGATTGATTGACGAACAAGCCGTCATCGAGAAGAGGACAATCCGTCGGGAGATGAGTTGCCACCTCTTGAGAGTGTACTGGATGCGATGAAGAGCCTCTTCTTGCAATGCAAACCTGAGGATGAAGCTCCCTAACACACGCCCCACCTCCATCCAACTCCTCTTCGTTAGGTGACAGCTGCCAGAGAGCCGCAAAGTCGTTGTTTTTCTGCTCTGTCGGGTGACAGCTGCCGAAGATGACTCAACGACCCATTTCATTAATCTCTAGACTTTGCGAGAAGATCTAGAGATTGCCCACGTCGTCTTCATCCAAGGAGAGCCTTTGAGGCTATGAACACTGCATGACGATCCTCCCGAATGCTTAGGATTCCAGTACATCACTGATGCATCACTGTCGCGACGCTAGAACTCTTTTTTCTTACTTTCAACTTACTTTACGCTTCATTTAGTGATAATCTTTGTGATTTTAATTTACCAAAATATACTTTGTTCTATTACGATTCTTCTGACTTTTATAGATCTTAATTTGATTAATTAAATCATCTATAATTGCTTACGTAAGAACCATCAGGTGGAACTCTATTTTTGCCCGATTTGCGTTCATCAGGAGCTGACGTCATTCTGATGTTTGCACCCTTATTTCCCTTTTTCATGAATTTTAAATATATTTCCTTTTCATTTCTTAGTATATAATTCATAGAAAATCGTATTCATTGAGAAAAATTTTGAATAATTACCAAATATTATATTACATCTTTGTGATTGACCTGGAAAATTACCATTATTTTTGGAAGTTTTATTGAATTATAATTGATATATTTATTTAGAAATACTTTTAAATATTTGAAAATTCATATTTTCTAGTTTTATAAATTTTAGATTTGCATAATTTAATATACAACGACTGAGTCACATCACATACCTCAACTTGACAATTGGCTTGGGGATGATATGGAGTGGTCATCTTGTGTTGGACTCCATATCTCTTCAACAAACTCTTGAAGTAAGAGTTGTTGAGTGTGACCCTCATCACTCAAAATTATCTAGGACATTTAAATTGTGAGAAAATAGTCTACTCTAGAAATTTAATGACAATCTTATGATCATTAGTCTTAGTAGGGATAGCCTCTACCCATCTAGATATACAATCGACTACCATCAATATATATTCATTTTCCCTTGATGGAGGAAATGGTCCCATAAAATCTATTCTCTATAAATTAAAGATCTCTACCTCAATGATAGGTTGCGAAGACATTGAATCTCTTTTGTCTATATTCCTTGTAGCTTGACACTTCAAACATTGCTGAACATATTTACATGAATCTTTAAACAAAGATGGCCAACAAAATCCAGCTTGAAGTACCTTCATTGACGTGATTTTAGAAGAATAATGACCACCATAGGATGAAGAGTGACAAAAATTAAAATACTTCTTTGTTCCTCTTCAGGCACATATCTCCTATAAATGTAATCAACTCTCAAATGAAATAATTCAGGTTCTTCTAACTAAATTGATCAATATTTCTGAAAAACATTTTTCTTACAACATAATTCCATTTATTTGAAAGTTGACCACTAGCTAGATAATTTACAATGTGTGCATACGATGGTGGCCTACTAAGTTAAACACAGTATGTGTTTCGACCTTCAGATTTCATATTTATAATCTTATTTTCGCAATCAAATTTGCTTTGGCTGTGACAAGAAATGAGCATCCTAATATGATTGTTGCATGAGTAAGATCATCTAAAATAGGAATATCTAAAATCAGAAAATCTACTAGAAATCTACATCCTTTAATATGGATAATGACATATTCTAGAAGACTCCTAGGTGTTTTAATAGATCTATCAGCTAGCCAAAGTTCCATTAAAGTTGGTTTTACTTCTCCTAATTCGAAATTTTCAAAAACAGCCAAAGGTAATAAATTAACACTTGCTCCCAAATCTAAGAGCACATTTCTAAATGTAGTTTCACCCACTTTAGATGAGATAAGAGTTGCTCCTAGATCCTTACATTTTCTAGGCAAAGAATGAGAAATAATGGCACTAACTTTTTGGATAAAGATATCTTCCAAGGTGACCTGAGGATGAAGCTCCCTGACACGCGCCCCATCCAGCCCCTCTCTGTCAGGTGACAGCCGCCGGAGAGCTGCAAAGTTGCCGTTTTTCCGCTCCGCCGGGTGACAGCCACCGGAGACGATTCGACGACCCACTTCATTGATCTCTTGACTTCACGAGAAGATCTAGAGATTGCCCACGTCATCTTTGTCCAAAGAGAGCCTTCGAGGCCGTGGACACTACATGACGATCCTTCCGAACGCTCAGGATTCCAGTGCATCGCCGACGCATCGCCGTCGCGACGCCGGAACTCTGTTTTCCTGCTTTCAATTTAATTTACGTTTCATTTAGTGATACTTTGCGTGATTTTAATTTACCAAACTATACTTCGTTCAATTACGATTCTTCCGGCTTTTACAAATCTTAATTTGATTAATTAAGTCATCTGTAATCCCTTACGTAAGAATCACCGAGCGGAACTCTGTTTTCGCCTGATTCATGTTCGCTAGGCGCTGACATTATCCTGACATCCGCACCTTTATTTCCTTTTTTTTTATGAATTTTAAATATATTTCCTTTTTATTTCCTAGTATAAAATTTGTAAGAAAATCGTATTCATTGAGAAAAACTCTGAATAATTACCAGATATTATATTACATCCCTGTGATCGATCTGGAAAATTACCGCTATGTTTGGAATTTTTATTGAATTATAATTAATATATTTATTTAGAAATATTTCTAAATATCCAAAAATTCGTATTTTCTAGTTTTATAAATTCTATATTTGCGTGATTTAATATACAACGACTGAGTCACGTCAACCATCATAAAATGCATGATTTAATTGCCACTTGACAATTCCATGATGTGGGCATCTCCTTTGAAGTTTCTTAAATCTTTCTTAAGATTCATGAAATGCTTCTCTTGATTTTTGAGTAAATTGGAGAATGGCTTTCCGCATGGAATGAGTCTTGCCAACAGGATAGAACTTTCTCAAAAATGCTTGCTCTACTTCTAACCATGTGGTGATCTCATGTGGTAAAGATGTGAGTCAATCTCCAACTTTATCATGTAATGAATATGAGAAGAGACATAACCTAAGTGCATCTTGAGGAATATTAGGAATATGAATAAGTTCACATGCAGCTAAAAATCAAAGAATATGTTGTTGTGGTTCCTCATTAACTAAGTCACAAAATTTAGGAAGCATTTGTAGAATGCTATGACAAATATCAAAATGAACATTTAACAAAATAGGAGGTCTAACCTACAAAGTAGGTCTACATAATTCAGGTGTATAATAATCACGTATAGGTTTATAAGGTTGAGTATTTTCAACATTCTCACTCTCTTGGGCTGGATGATTCATCCTATGTGATTCTAATTCTATAGAAGATGATTTTTTTCTTTTCTCTATTGTTGGAGTCTCTAATAAGGGTGATAAATTTCGTTTTTCTTGTGCCCCTAAATTCTTAGATTGGTTGGTAGCTGGCTTTCTAAGATTGATTGCAAGCTGTATCTATTGTTCATAAATCAGTTTTCAGAATTTAAATCTAGCAATGATCATGACATGAATATATGATTCTAATAAATATGTCAATGATAAGTATAGAATCAAAATCAAAAATTAAAATGCTCAAGTAAATAAATAGAAACTAAAGATTCAAAATTCTAAATTATGAAAGAAATGTAAATAGAAATCAAATGAGCCTAATAAACCTTTATTTTTAATTTTTCAAAGTAATATTTAGATGAGAAAAATAAAATGATAAAAACTATAATATATATATATTCAAAATCACTGAAATATGAAAAATAAATCAATTAACACTGATTAAAAACAAATCTCCCCTGCAATGAAGCTAAAAAGATGGGTGCACTTGTCATTGCATTTAAGTATATACTATCTAATAATATTTATAACTAAGACTTAATAAAATATTAATATAGAAGTAAGTCTTAGGTCGAACATGGAGATTGATGAATCCATCATGAAAACTAATTTAGTTTATATATAAAGTGATTTTAATATTTTATTAATATTTAACAGGAATAATAAAATAAAAGGGTGAGGTGAAAGAATAAAGGAAGGAAAGCAGAGAAAAGGAAGGAGGAAAAGAGAGAGAGAAGAGAGAGCTCTTATGAGAGAGAGAAAAGATGAGATCTCTCATGAAAGGGAGAGAAAGAGAGGAAGAGAAAGAGCTCTCGCAAGAGAGAGAAGGGATGAAATCTTTTGCAAAAGTGAGGGAAAGAAAGAGGAGGAGAGAAAGCTCTCATAAGAGAGAGAAGGGACAACATCTCTTGCAATAGGGAGAGAAAGAGATAAGATGAGAATGAAGAAAGAGAGAAATATGGTCAAGCCATTTTCTTGGATGAATGTGTGCTTGACGATTCACACACATGACATGAGGTCAACTGTGAATGTCTTCAGCTTATTTTAATTGTTGAACACTCATTAATTAGTCTTTAATCTCAATAATGTTGCATTCAAAAATTAGAAAATACTCATTATTCTTGAAAGACTAGTGGTCTTCATTATCATGAGTTAATATTTAGTAAATAATATAGTTTTATCCTAAACTCATGATAAATAGACTTATATTTGTGTTAAATTGTAAAAAGTGGTTTTTAGTTGATTAACGTGAATTTTTGGCTAATTATGTGATTTTCTACGAATTGATATGATTTTTATAGTCTTATTTTTGAGATAAATGAAGAAAAAGAAATTAAAATAAAAAAATAACAAAAATAGGAGACTCGCTTTCCAGCTGGGCTTGGAAGTGAGTCGGAAGTGTAGTCGAGGGGAGCCATGAGTAGGGGCTCGAGCAACTAAGAACCGATGGGGGCACACATGCACCACTCCCTGATGTAGGACGGGGCGAGAACCCCTTGTACCTGATCAATGAAACTCGAGTCCCTGAATGGGACCGTCGGACCAATCTAATAAGAATGTTTGGACCCTAGACTCTAGCTCTAATCACGTAACTTAAGCATAGGCAGGCATACCAATATGTGTGATCATCCCAGGACAACCCAGGAAAACACTCGATGATGGTGAGTGAGAGCCGAGAAAACCCTTCAAAAGATAATTAAACTTAAGTAAGAAGGGGTATGGAGCTAACCTTTAGGGCTGCATAGCCCGGCAGGTCATGACGGAGCGGAGATTCGACGAAGGTAGGGACATCCAGTGAAGAGCGATGCTCAGCGTCGATGGTTGGTCCTGGTTGAGAGTCACGGAAGTCATCGTCATAAGGCTTGGCATGGTCAGCGCGGGTGTGGGCCCACTGGTGGGCCAAAGGGTACGCTAGCAGGCGTGGGCCTGTTGGTGGGCCGAAGGGCACGCTAGTGGGCAAGGGCCCATTGGTGAGCCGAAGGGCATGGTAGCAGGTGTGTGCGGCAAGCCATGCGGCGGCCTTAGGGCACGTAGGAGCCAGCAAGTGCGGCGCATGTGGCGGCAGCGCTTTGGCGGGAAGGCTGAGCATCTGCGGTGCTTTGGTGGGAATGCCGAGCATCTACGGCGCTTTGGCGGGAATGTCGAGCATCAGTGGCGCTTTGGTGGGAAGGCTGAGCGTTGGCGGTTGGGGCAGAAACCCAACCGTCACCAGAAGGATTGGCCTCTCTAGTGGCACCGGGAAGCGGAGCAGAGAGGAGACGATTCGGCTGACAATACCAGGGAGGGTTGAGCTCTCCTGGTCTAAGTGCCATCAGAAATGGTGCGATGGCGGCAGAGCGTTGGGAAACTTTGGCGGGGGCCTGTGAGGAGCTGCGACTAGTTCTAGCTCGTCAGCATGGCTGCAGGGTCTCTTCCGACGTTGGCGGCAGGTCGGCATTCATCGGTGAATGGCCAGCAACTCGGCAAAGCGGCGGAGGGCAGCTCTGGCGAGTTTATGGTGGAGTTCTAGAGGAAGAGGTGGCAAACGAACCAAGAGTCGAGAGACTTCGGCGGAGTGTTCGACGATGACTCGTAGGGAGGCGAAGCGAGCCCCTTTCGTCACGACGGCATGATGAGTTTCCAGCAGAGGTGGTGGTGGCTGCAACGGCAACTGCGACTGTTTCGTCCAGTGATGGCGGCGAGCTCCCGGGCAGCAATGAGACGGCCGGCGACAGTAGTGGTCTCAGGCGGCAGCGGGACTTCTCAGGCAGCAGCGTCAAAAGGAACGAAATCCTCAAAGGGGGTATCAACGGCCTTCCTTTTCCTCCTTCCCTCCCAATCCTCATCATGGAGAAGGTACTCACAAAATGATAATCTCTCTCAAAAAATACGGTGCCCTTTGAGGGGGGGTCCTACCTCCCCTTATATGGGGGCCCACAAGTGGGCTAAGGGGAGGTGGGCCCACTTGAGGCCCTCAAGCCCATAAGCCACAAAGGCTACAAAAGAGGCTTATTGGGCCTCTTAAAGAGAGACCCAATAAGCTCCCCTAAAAGGAGAAAGAGGAGGGCCCTCTTATGGTGCTTAAGTAGGCCTCAAATGAAGACCCAAATAAGCCCCAAAAGAGGCCCAAAAAAGAAAGACACATAGGTCCCCTGATAACTCTTCATTATCATGAGTTAATAATTAGTAAATAATATAGTTTTAGCCTTAACTCATGATAAATAGACTTATATTTGTGTTAAAAAATGATTTTTAGTTTTTAATTGATTAACATGAATTTTTGAGTAATTATGTGATTTTATACGATTTTTATAGTCTTACCTTTGAGATAAATAAAGAACAAGAAATAAAAATAAAAAATATTGCAAAATGGGGGGACCCGCCGGCCAGCTGGGCCTGCAAGCAGGTCGGAAGCGCAGTCAGGGAGTAGCCGTGAGCAAGGGCTCGAGCGGCTTAGCTTGGGCCGATAGGGGCACATGTGCACCCTCCCCTTCCACGTCACTGATGGCCAGCCAGCTGTGGGGCAAGGAGTGGTCGCACACGGAAGAGAAGGGAGTTTGCTTACAAAGCTAACATTACTATATATTCGCCCGAAAAATTGGCGCACAACCGATGTGGGACTAAACCCGCCTCACACCTTCCTCAAAAGAGGTGGGCAACCGGCGCGCGTTCGAATCCTCCTAGAGTCAAAATTCATATATTTTTATCTAATTATCATGACTTTCCTGTAGATCGCCGGTGAATGATTAAGCAACGAGAATTGCTGGATCGGTGAAAATCTCGTCAACGAAATTTGCAGAGCATTACTGAACAATTCGCAATAAAAGGATT